CCGACTACCTTGGATTGGTTGACATTGGAAAAATCTTACACGACAGGGTCATGATAGGAATCGGGTAGGGTCGGATACAGCAAGGGGATAAGAGAACTCAATGCCAGGCGAGCTGTTTCTCAGTAAAGAGTCTGTATCGCGGAGAAGAGTCCTGTCAGAATGCTATAGCTCCCTCTGCACGGAGGGAGGTGACCTTCTTATAGGAAGCATCGAATCGCTAGGGATAAGGTCGAGGAGACGTCAGATAAAAAGACAAAATACGGAAACCTTCTCTTTCATCTTTTTCAGGTTAAACTCGAACGAAGCCTGGACGATACAGCACAGAAAAGGTGCAACAGTGACATCTCGAGGGCAATACTGGCCCAGAACAAGGCAACAGCTCCAAGTGAACAGAACTATCCGTTGACGATACGGATAGCTTCCCTCTCGTGCAACTTTTCCAAACCTGGATCGCCGTTTTCACCTTGCTCACATTACCTTCTGACCGGATGTATCGCAAGAAAATGCCTATTGGCCTGGCATTACCTATTTGGGGGATGGTCACAGTAATGGGTAATGGATTTTTGGAGCAAGCAGATACTCCGATCATCATTTGCCAATTGATGATGATGAGCTGCAAGCTTCAGTACTGGCTTGGCCTGGTCATACTTACTACCTTAGACTCCTATATATTCTCAAAGCCGGCGAGCAGCAACAAGTCGTTCGGTTGTTCATGCCCCTCACTGCGCCTCCCCTGTTGAGGTCATGCTAGTTTTTCTTTTTCTCGTCCGGCTCACCTTCTGGAAGCATGAAACGGTCTTCCACCTTCTCCGATCCATGACTCGCTGTGTGCTTGACCGCTGGTCCCTGGCAGGACCTGTCAGCCTTGCCCTCGCCGAGTGCTTACCTAGGCAACCGACGGTCAGACCTGAATGATCTGGTTGGCTCGTAAATTAGACAGGAGGGTTAAACACAATCAGCTCGCTTGCAGAGACAAATTCGATATCTGGTATGGATCACTTCTGGTACTGGTCACGTTGCCTGTTGATTTCACACAAAGATAGTGTTGATGTTAGTCAACGAAAGGGTGATAAGTCTGCTGAGATGTAGTAATACAATAATGGTAAGGTACCTAGTTGGATCATCAACATCGTTGCTTTTATTGGCTTTCTTGCCGCATACAATTTAAAGTATGTGTACGTAATAGGGTTGCACGTTCTCCAGGGAGTTTAAGCCACTATCGAGAAGGGTACCTGGATATATTTCTTGTGTGACAGACATTTACAAGTCTACCCATCTACCTATCTACCTAATAAGCCAACGCAGGAGGATGATATAGCAAAATCTGGAATATGAGTACTGAGACACTCACCAGTTAATTAGAGGAAATTAGAGCAAGATTTTCTAAATCATATGATGACTAGATGCAGTGTACGCCGATGGGGTTGGTATGAACAGCAGTGGTAGTGGCTCCGTACCTGCATTAGATATATCAAGCAACACGAATTCAAGGAGCTACCGACTATAGCATGATAATATTTGTTCTTCTCAATCAAGCTCTCTTTTTAGAAGACACTTCTCTACGGATAATCCGACCCTGGTCGAACCCCACCATATAGTTACAACGAAGTGGTTCCTCAGCCTTGTATTAGATCAAATGTGAAAGAAGAGTGAAGACGCCGAGCCGAGCAGCAACCATCCAAGAATCGCGCCATATACATGCAGTTGACCCTTCTAGTCAATAATAACAACACCAGTAAAAAGTGGGGTTAGATATAGTACAAGTTTTACGCTCAAAGACAATCTTGTCTGCGCTCTAAAGTAGAGAGGACAACCTGGGGTAATTTATGAAGTCGTTCCGAAAACGCGCAGAATCACCTCGTACCTAAAGCGATGATGTCAGAAGCTGATCAACTGAACAAGCAGGGACAAAAGATACTCACATTCCGAACATGATGGCGGCTGACGGAACCACACGCAGCAAATGCGGTGTGAGACCGCCATACAATCCGAGCATACCCTCCTCCTTCCACACAGTCTTAAAGCACTGCACAAGGCCAGTGTATTTCATCTGAACCTTGCCATCCCCCACAGATACAGTGGGGGCTTGCCTCAGCCTCGTTCGGACAACTTCGTGGGGGTACGTGGCGGCCGCAGCAATCAGTTTCGCCATGCCCGCGGAGCAGATTCGACCACCCCACAACTCCACATCGTCCCAGATATTGTAGACGTGATTGGGATCAGCACGCTTGGCTGCTTCCCTGCGCGCTAAGTACATCTTCATTTGTTCGTACATCACCCATTGCAGAGTTGACTCGGTCACACCAAGGTATGATGCGGAAAGTCCCTTGTACAAGCCTCGAATGCCCTCGTGGCGCACCGTCTGCTTGATACAGTCCCAGCTGTTCTTATACTGACGGCCCTTGCCATTCGCGGCGTTAGACTTGTCTAGTTGTAAGCGTGTCTTCACCAGCCAGATTGGGTTGGTGGCTGTCCCTGTGGCAATTCCTGCTACGGCGGCCGCCGTCAGATGGATTCCGACGGGCGTCTCCTTGGAATCGTGGTAATGAAAGTAGTCGCTAAGTATCCGCTTTCCGTTTCCATATACGTAGAAGTTAATAGCACGCGCCGGAACAACCCCAATGAGATTTGGTCCAAGGCCCTTAAACAGTGCGCGCCAGCCCTCATGGACATGTATCGAGCGCAAGATCTGGAAGGTCTCGCTAAAGTGTATCATAGCGGTCCGTGGAAGCGAAGCAAGTGAGTTAGATGGTGGCAATGGGTGAGCGGCACGAAGAGACTTGAGCTGGGCTTGGTAGAAGTCGGACTGTAACCGGGTTTTCAGGACATCAAGAGGAGAGGTAAGTGTCGCGGCAGTCATTCCACCAATTCTGTAGATCTATCGCATTAGCTTCGAGATTCATCTCAACCATCATAAAACTATAATTCCTCTTACCCGCCAGCGACAAAATGGGCGAAAGGCTTCGCTTGGCTCTTTTTGTCGACATCTTGCGTGAACGGCTGCGTCCCTTGCGGTACAATTTCGCCAGTCTCCCTTGACTGTAGCATGAGATCTTGACCAACAGTCGCTGCAGACTCTCTTGTTTCCAGATGCGCCTGCGCAGAGCTGGAGTGAGAAGTGGCTGAAAAAGGCATCAACAAGGCCTGGGGTATGATCGGGACGGAGAATACGGCAAAGATCGGTCTGACACGGAAAGCAGTAGCATTCAGGCAGTGATAGCCATGAAGAGGCAATATTCTCAGAAGTAATGTACGAAGTGAACCTGATAGTTCCAAATCGAATTAAATAAGGAGGCGTAACTGGCGACGAGGATGATACGTTCGATTTCAATTTTTTTTTGGCGACAGCTTATTTTTGCCTGAGCGGAACCTCTGGGCGGATCTCTCTGCGCACTGCCGATTGGCAATCTCTTCCGTCGCCGCTTTAACGGCTAATGCAGGAACAACTACTGGATTATTTTATCCACAAAGAATATGAGGTCTCATAGCGCCATTCTTTGGCTGCTCCGATGTATGTACCTGAGCTCTAGTTGTTCCATGCATATTTCAACTCTGATTCAGCGCTCGGTGGCGCTGTAGAGGCGCCGCTTCAGGCCGATGCTACCTCGTTGCAGTGGGCATGACAATTGCTTACGCCTACGGAATGGAGAATCTCTAGTGAAATGACACGATCTTGCGAAATATTTACCCAAGCAATTGATTGAGTGTTACTCCTAGAAACAACAATATCGCAGGAGTTATTGGGCGCTAAAATTGTCTGGCAGATTGACCAATAGGTGCTTATCAGAAACCCGTTCGAGCCAGAATATCCAAATCGTACTGATTCTTCAAAGGGGGAATCGAAAGGTTTGTCTTTTTTTTCTTTCATTGAGGGGAATCTATGCACAGGCTTGAGCTGTGCCAGAACATCTGAGAACCCTAATTTTTATCGCTTCGTCTCAATGCAAAGTCCACCCATAGACGGAAAACCCCAGAAACACCAAACAACCGCATCGACCATATCCATTCGTTTAGATGTGGGTGTCGTAAGGGATGGGGGTGATGGTCTCAGCGGCAACACCCTCGACAACGTGGCCCTCACGGGGCATGGCAGGCTGTCTCTTCAGGTGGAGGTGGATGCCCTGCTCCTTGGCCTGGCGCTTCTTGGCGGCATTCTCCTTGACACGCTTGATGAAGTCCTCGCGGGAACGGGAGTGCTTGACGTGCTCGATGCGAACGTTGATGCGCTTCTCCATGTAGCGGTTGCCGACAACCTTGTAGATGATGACACCGACGGAAGACTTGGTGACGTTGTAGACGACACCGGTCTTACCGTTGTAGACCTTGTAGGGCATACTGTTCCAAAATTTCAGCAAGCAAATCCTCAAATTTTCGACAACAATCACGCATAATCCGCGCCTTCCGGACTCCTCGTAATTGCAGCGGGCGAAAATTGTACTGACCCCTTCTGAACCGCACCGTTGACCTTGATATCCACAATGTCGCCGACCCTATGAGAACAACAATCAGATCCTGCTCGTACATCTCTCCATTATCATGTTCGAATTTCTGGTTCGTACCGGTAGGTCTTCAGGTAGGTCGACAGACGGATCATGCCGTTCTCCTTAAAGCCGCGGCTGAAGGCATACTACAACCATCGTCAGCGCTCCGTTTCAGCCCGCGAAAAAAGCGTCGATATGAATCCATCGCATGAACGTACGCGAGTGCCCGATCTCAAACCGTGGGAGTGACCCATTTTTGCGGTGTATGTGGTGCTGGTGTTGAGAAATTGTCGACAACGAAGAAATGCCTCCTTCTGCCGCACTTGGTGATGGTGTCAAACGTCCTCGGGTGCTTGGTGCGCCGCCAGGGCTAGCCCTAACCCTAACCTCAACACGGTTAGACTCCACTTTTCTCCTCGCTTGTTTCCTCCCCAAAGAGCATCCTCAACTTCTGAACTTTGCGATCTTCGTGAAGTTTGGTGTGCTCGACAACATCACGACAACGCGCAATCAGCAGCCATGGCCCCCGTCCCGTGAGTATATACCTTGCAATGAGTGCGAAACGAAGTCGCATCGTTCTAATTACCGATTTTGCATTACAGTCGCGTTTACTCCAAGACCTACAAGGTCCCTCGTCGTCGTAAGTATTTCTAATATATCCAAAAATGGGAAATTCATCAAAGTCCGAATAAACGCTAATTGATGTTCAGCTTTCGAGTCGGCTCGTCTGTTAGTACTCTCCGGCCACTGATCAGAAGCGTGCTTCTGTTTAAGTCGTGTGTTCCATGCCTAACCTTTGGTCGATAGTGACTCGGAACTGAAGATTGTCGGCGAGTACGGCCTGCGCAACAAGCGTGAGGTGTGGCGTGTCCAGCTCACCCTGTCCAAGATCCGTCGTGCTGCTCGGTATGCGTTTTATCAACCTGCGACAATTGAGAGCAGCGACTAACATGTTCCGGTCTAGTGAGCTTCTCACTCTTGACGAGAAGGACCCCAAGCGTCTTTTCGAAGGTAACGCTTTGATTCGTCGTCTGGTCCGCATTGGTGTGCTCGATGAGTCCCGCATGAAGCTCGATTACGTCCTGGCCCTCCGTGTCGAGGACTTCCTTGAGCGTCGTCTGCAGACCTGTGTCTACAAGCTCGGTCTTGCCAAGTCCATCCACCACGCTCGTGTCCTGATCAAGCAGCGTCACATCCGGTATGGCCCACCATGCGATAGCGCTAAGGAAACGATACTAACCTATTTTAACCAAACAGTGTCGGCAAACAGATCGTCAACGTGCCTTCCTACATGGTTCGCCTTGACTCCCAGAAGCACATTGACTTCGCTCTCACCTCCCCCTACGGTGGTGGCCGCCCTGGCCGTGTCCAGCGCAAGAAGGCCGCTGCCGCTGCTGGCGGTGACGGTGAGGAGGCTGAGGAGGACGAGGAGTAAACGTGTCTTAACTAAAAATCAGGAGTACGGACGGGTCTCGTTTTGGAAATCAAAATCATGAGGGGTTCCATGGTGTCTGCAGCATAGCGTATCATGTTGTATGATCATGCACGTCAATGAATTAGATAGCCTAACGGCTTCATTTCGAGACCGAAGCTGTACCATTGTGCTGTAAATTTAGAATACCGCCCATTTCGCCTATATATACACCCGAATTATGAACCCGCGACGCCGCCATAATACAAATCTAGTTCACCAATCACCTGGCCTTCGGTCTCATCCCTCAACACCCACCAAACTTTTCAGTGTTTCCTCTGCGCTCCTGTACCACCTGCCCAACTCTTCGAGGCCGTCGCTCTTGCCTTCCTGTTTCATTCTCTGTGCCTCCCGTGCTTGTGCGGTTGCTTCGCTCCTGCGTCTTTCTAGTACACTCAATTCTCTTTCCAATGCTTCGGCTTCTCTTGTCTTGCGTGGCAGAGCATTCTGTACTGCGGCAAGTTGCCGATTTAATGCTGCAAGTTCCGCCTCACGCTCGGCCAATAGAGACAGCGTCGCTGGCAGTGGAAGGTTCTGGGAAGACGACGCGCCCATCGTGGCGACCTGTTTCGCACGTAGTCCAGCAATCGTGGATTCAAGGTTCTCTATTGATTCGGGGAGTGTTGAAAGTTGTGTCATCTGTAGTTGCACTTTTCTGTATCCTGTCGACATAATACTTAGCGCCGCTTTCCTGCCATACGGGCAAAATGAACTCACGACTCGCCAGATCCCGACCCATCTTCTCCATATCTTCAATCATGATCCTGACTTCTTCCTTGCGCGACTTGAGCTCAGATTTCACCTCTGCTAACTGCGCTTCCAACTCCACATTTTCATTGTGTCCGACGACCAGGGGAGGGTCGCCCACGATTGCTCGTAGGAACTTTTCTTTTGTTACTTGCTCAACATAGGAAAAGCGCAATTTGGAAAAGAGTTCCTTTTCATACAAGTCAGAGGATATATAATAAGGATATAGCATATGCAGAGGTGAAGTCCACTTATCCGTACCTTGTAGTGTGTCAAATCTGCTTCCAGGGAAGCAGGTGTGGGGTTATCGATGGCCGAAACGTCAGAGGTACGCTTGGACGGCGATGGATTGGATTTTTCGGCATCTGAAGAAGAGATAGGTTCGCTTATGCGTATGATGGCAAGGCGAGTCTTCAGGTCGCCATTCTCTTCCTCCAATTGTCGGAGATGTTCAAGTGTTTCAGCGGGGCTCTGATCGGTCATTCTTCAAGCGGTCTCTTCTCAATGAGGTATGTTTGGCAGCAAATGCGTGAATCCTATGTTTTAAGCCCTGAGTTGGATTATTAAAGTCTTCTTTTGCCTGAATACTAGGTGTCTTCAGAACGGATACCCTTGACTGCGCGTTGGCTGGTAGATAACTGAAAAGTAAACAAAAGCTTATCGGGCAATCTGAGGAACACCGCTTTTGATTGCCGTTTAGCGCGGCTTCCCCAGCCAGCAGTGAAGTCACTGCCCTCACTTTATTTGGCAGTGGCCATGAGCGGATAGACAATCCATTTATACTTCCTCAATACAATCGGTTTATGTGTCTTTTCTTGTATGGATGATGTCGCGAAGACTGTCTGCTGGCTAAGGCTAAAAGACTTGAATTCTGAAGGAGCACCTCCATTGCCCACTTGGGCGCAATCGCCGCTTTCCTTCCTTCGCCAGCAATCATGCCTTCAAACACTGGAGAAACGAACGACGAACTGAGCAACGACTATGTTGCACAAGTATTAGCCAAGGAGGCCAGTGACAGCTCGATGAAATATTCGGCTCAAGGATTGGGTGCTTATTTGCCTAGAAGGTACGATCTCTGATGTGGAGTTCCACTATAATCAGCGTGGTGTTGATGTATATCGCCTCGCAGACCTACAGGTGCAGCTCCTAAACCGAATACGAGATTTTTACGCAATATCATAAAGGAAACCGACAGTCATAATGCTGCATTGAAGCGGAAGGAAGAAAAGGAAGCCAGGGAACGAATGCGACAACTACGGGGCCAAGCTTCGTCTTCCTCTGCGAATGATACCAAAGAACGCGACCGTCATCGATCCCGGCGCCCGTCGGACAACTTGGAGCCGCGGAGAGACACAAGAGAAAGCCGGGCGTCAAGACATCGCCCTCATAGGAGAAGCCATAGGAGTCGTTCGGCGTCCTCGGACAGAGATCGGGCCCGCAGACACCGACGAACTCACCGATCTTACGACACTGGTGAAAAGCGTCGTCGATCTTCAAGGAAAGAACATCGCCGCCGGTCGTACTCACGTAGCCGCTCTCCACGAGATGATAATGCCTCGAATTCTCGCGATCGCTACAGACGACGTCGTCGACGCACAGTCTCATTGTCCCCCTCTCGCAGCCCATCACCAGACAGACACGGGACTCGGAAAGGTAGAGCGGATACAAGATACGGCACTCGCCGCAGTACACTCGATGATCGCGCGACACGTGAACACACCACAGGACATGAGAGAGAAAGGACACCACCTCCTCTGAGAAAAGAGTCTGGGTTTGAGTCTGATCCGCTCGAGGATTTGGTGGGACCACTACCTCCTAAGCATGGTGTCGACAGCGACTCGGGCCCAATTCGCTCTCGCGGTCGGGGCGCTTATAAAGCCAACCTGAGCAATATCGATGCTCACTTTGCTTCCGACTACGATCCATCGCTGGATGTCCACATGGAAGATGACGATCAAGGTCAGCGCAAAGGGCCCTCCCGACGTCCTGTTGCAGGTCTTACAACCGAGGAAGATGACTGGGAGCTCGCCCTCGAGGCGCTCCGCGACCGTGCTCGTTGGAAGCAAAAGGGAGAGGAACGGCTACGAGAAGCGGGCTTCAACGATGCCGTCGTTGATCGATGGAAGAGCACTTCTAGTAAAACAGCCACAGGCGGTGGTGATGACGAAGGCACAGTTGAAGACGTGAAGTGGTCAAAGAAAGGCGAGGATCGTGAATGGGATCGGGGAAAGTTTGTTAATGATGAGGGACATATCGATGTAAAGGCATTGTGGTAGCATTGTTTACAGGAAAAGGGTTCTATTCAGCAACCGGAGTATGGGGTTCGAGTATTTCTGTATGGGTATGGCTTGGGGGTAATAGCATACATTCAAGCTGGGAATATGAACAAGTTAGCTCATTGTGTGTGATTATGAACATGAATTTAAGCAGTGAGTGAGCCGTCTCCTTTACTTGGGACTGTAGTTTTGGTAGTGACCTGTCAGAATATAACACGATTACATTCAGCAAGTATACGAGCTCATAAGGTAATGACAAACATAATACCATATTATGAGCCTGACCATATCCGAGTCGCAGATATTTAGTCTACTAACATGTAAAAGAAATCAATGTAAGATCTAAAAAGTTTTGTCCAGTTGAGAAGCTAATCTCCACCCATCTGGTAAGATAGGTGTTCATTCCGCGGCTTTGTCAGGGTGCGGAATTACAGACAACAGAGGGACTGCTTTCTGCGTACCGGGGATTATTGCACCATATTTCTCAATCATGGCATTTGAATTTCTAAGAATTAGTCAATCAGAATTGTCAATCATCATATGCCCGTCATATTTCTGGTAATTGCATGGTCAAGTGTGGAACCTTCACCTCTTTTAGATATATAACCACCTCGGACCTGTCTTTTTGTTTCAACACCAAATCTTTGACAGACTCGCGCAAACTCTTGAATGAACAAGACGTAGAACATTTACACACATTTACTCATTTCAATCTCTTTATCATCTTGACAAGAAATGACGGACCAATTTGCTTTCTCATACCCGTCTCCACTCGAGGGCTACGAAAACCTTGAACCACTGACAGAGTAAGTTTTAGTCTTCGGATGGATCAAATCCAGGTCAAACATCGCATAAGACGTGACGCCAGAAAACTAAGGAGACTTTGATAGTGAGAAGTCCGAGGATGGAAAGTCCCTCAAGAATCCCCAGCATGGAGTCTTAAGTAGAGCGTATGAGGAATTCCCCGACCCTCTCGCTAAAGATCGCCGTGGAGGGTTTGATATCCATATCTATCACTTTCAGGTTAGAAATCCTTACAAAATATTGGACTGCTTCGGCCATAACTGATCTTCCCCTATTAGAATAATCCAGATCAAGTCGCATACGCCAGAGCTCTACATGAAAGAATCAGACGCGAATGTAAGGGCGCATTCCCCCTTGTGTCAAGCTTTTTGCGAAAATCTCGTTATCTCCAAGTCAAAGTACGGAAATGACTGATAGTATGCAGTCCCTGAGCTTCGCATTTATACCTTCTTTGACAGGCCAATTGGGCCTCATCCGGTCGCCATGTTCGAAGTCAACGTCTTCACGCCTGCCCAGTTCGGTGCGTTTGTACCTTGGCTAGTTATCAATAGGGGTCCGTTGAGTGCCTTGATACACCCAAACACGATCGATTCAGAGGAAGAACGGAATCATACGCAACGTGCTACATGGCTTGGAGAGAGGATTCCGTTAGATTTGAGGGTATTCAAGCTGATGAGAGAGGCAGAGAAGAAGAAAGAGCTGGAAGCTGGGCAGGACGCTGGAAAGCTATAGATCGATACCCTCTGCTGATCTGTGAATATGGGATCAATTTAGTGAACTGGTCGTTCAGAAGGCTGACCTCACGGACAGGACATCATAATTCTGTGGAGCTGTCATAGAACTGTCTGCAGGACTATTTATTTATGTTGTTAATACCATAAAGCAAAGACTCTATAGTCAACTGCCCATTAAATATCACCTGGGTTGAATCAAAGAGCGACCTGAATTAGAAGGCGCCGAAATGATGAGTGAAACCCTGTAATACGACCCTTACCTTTCTGAGAATAGGTGGTCATCTGGCTAGTTTATCTGATGACTTGAGTGGCGACGACGGTAACTACTGAGTCAAGTATCTCACAATCAATCAGATGTCATTGACCAACAATATCACGGGATCCTTCACAATGTAACCCGAGGCCAACGTGACTGGACGATCACAATCAACCTGGTATTGATTGGAATTCTTGCCTGCATCATCCGCACCGTGCTTATTTTCGCCCTGGAATGACCCTCAGAACCACTTATTGATCCAAGCCATGTACGGACGAACTGCAGCTGCAGCTCAGATCGTCTGGTATTCACACGAGGTTGATTGGATGGTTCCTGGTTGCTCTCATGGCCGGTCAGCTGCAGCAGAAGTTGACTCGAGCTTCAACTGCAGCGTGAAATAATATGTACTCTATATTCGAGAGGTGGCCAGGACGTCGAATTCTTGGGGACTGACGATCACTCAGCCCTGACTTCTCGGCACCCATTCTAAGTTATAAATTGCCTGCCGTCTCTAAAATGATTTTGAACCTATGACTGAGTATTACGCACAACTTAGACTTAGATCGTCGATTGCTTCTGTCTTACCAATATGCGGGCTCCATGGACGTCTGTTTTTGCGTGGAATATGCTACAGCCAGCAGTCGCGACCGCAGATACTTTTATGAAAGATATCGCGGCAACAAACATACCGAGCTTCGTGCTGGAATATGGTGCGTGTGTCTGCAGCAATCGAACATGATTTTCGAGCTCTGACATTGGCGTAGCGCCTCTTGTATGGCTGCATAGCCAAGATGCGTACATGCCCTCCGACATTGGACAGCAACTTGTACATACTACGCCAATGGTTGACCATAAACCGATCCAAGGGGTCCAGTCACCCTTGACTCTTGATAACCTCGACAGCTTGAACAGTCTGGGCAACACAAGCGTTTACTTGACATCCCAGGAAGGTATCAACGCTTCCCCGCAGCCAGCGTGGTTCAAGGGCACCGCTCCAGATCAACAGGGCAAGACGAACGGCGCAGTCTCCTCAACGATTATTATTCGTGATCACAACAATGGGACGGTGGATGCCTTTTACTTTTACTTCTATGCGTGAGTCATGGCCGATATGTTCGGTGAGGATCGTGGCAGACTGATGAATCAAAAGGTATAACGAAGGAAACACTGTCCTCGGTATGGAATTCGGTGATCACGTCGGGGACTGGTATGCCGAGTCAAAAGATCATCAGCATTTGCGCACAACTCATGCAATCTAGGGAGCACAATATGATCCGATTTTCGAATGGGAGCCCCCAAGCGATTTGGTATAGTCAGCATGCTGGAGGACAAGCCTTCACGTACGACGCAACTGAGAAACAAGACAAGCGGCCATATGCATACTCGGCAAAAGGCACGCACGCTGTTTACGTTATGGCGGGGTGAGTATACCGATGCATAACCTTGGTGATGACGGCGCGTGCTAAGGAGCGTGAACCCTGCGCAGCGATCATGACCATACGATTCCTCATCTCAATCTCCCCGCCGGATTTGTTGTTGACCATACTGACCGCGGGTTGTTGTGGGATCCCATACTGAGCGCCTATGCATACAGCTATGATGCCGACAGCGGGACCTTTCGGCCTTATGACCCCAGCTACCCTGTTAACTGGTTGGACTTCAACGGTCAGTGGGGAGATGATGCATTGCCGGGTGGGCCTGAGCTATTTGGTCAGAAGAAGTACAGCGGGGGACCAAATGGACCGAAATTCAAGAATCTTGTTCGTGACCAAGTGTGTTCAGACAACCCATGCATTGTTCTCCCATTTCGAGTGTGGAGAACAGCATCGGCAGAGCAAGAGTGATCGGTAATGGAAGGGAAATGCGGGATCTAAGCCTTGATAACTGTGGAGACAAAGACTTGAAGCTTTCAAGGCCCATTATTATGGCGGCCAAGATCGTGATTGCATAAGCCCCAAGACATTCAATTGTACTTACGTCCTAGACTATATAGTAGAATGGGGCACTATGTAGACAAAACATGTGGAATCACGAAGGGCGAGCATGCTTTACTTACGAAGATTATGACTGAATCATTTCGGGAACAGGTAGCTTGCGCTTGAATATTGATTGCTAGGTACAATCGCTTGACATCAGGGACACTCAGGGAATCGGGAACTCATTGCGGCTGAAGTGCAGTCCAAAGGACGTGGTACTTTGAGTATTCCTCATCACTTTGGAAGAGATTTCGATCTCAGTTCTTCGTGGTTTTTGTGGTCAATGGTACCTCTCGAGAGGTAATATTAGCATGATTAGGGTATTATCCGAAGGCGTCGGGAACATTGAGCATTATTGTCCATGCTCGTAAATGAATTTCCATCACCGCTTGGTCATACACAAGGCCTTAAGGCCTAAGGCTGTATGAAGGGACCTTGGTTTTTCCAGCCGGCCATCAGTCAGGATCAAAACACTAACACTCGAGCAGAGTGGGGTTCCAGGACAAGATCGTAATAATCTTCCTCAGAGACTAGAGAGGTTGAGAGCCAGCACCACGTGATCTCATATCTCCCGACTGTTCCTGCCTGGATTGCGTGTTTCTTGGCAAGCTAAACCAGACAAGGCAATAAATGGCCCCTGACTAGCATGTAAAAAGCAGAACCAGACATAGCCCCCCATCTGATGGATCAACTGCATGAACGTTGATGGTGTGGGTGTATCAATGAGAGATTAAGTATAGGTGGTGGCTCATCATAACACTCACCTCTTCATACTTCTGATTTATGGAGCTTTCATGAGAACAACCTGAAAACAATGATCATTTTCAGGTGTCATTTCATGCTGGACTGCTGTGGCCCCTGAATGTTCTCAGATGCCCTTGTGCTGGTGAATGCTGAGTATTTACTAGCCACGAATGAAATTGCTCAGTCAATGTGCCCCTCTGTAAAGCACCTAAGCTAAAGCTCCAGCAGTTCAGCCACTAAGACCGAAGACGGGGCAACCTCGAGTGCATGACCAGTAACGGAACCTAATTCTTAGCCAGTAGGTTCGTCTGAGTGGGGAGGGCTCGAAAGCCGAGCCCCTGGTGAGATTAATATTATTTGCTAGGTATCTGCTGCCCCTGAATCCAGTCGAGCTCAAAAGTTTCTCAATGACATTAGCTGCTTGGAAAAGAGAGAAAAGTAAAAAAAGAACAGTAAGACGCGCCAGACAACCAAGGAGCCAGCTTGGAGGAAGACTCAAGACGTAGATGTAAAGTAAGGCAACATTGGCAAGCTTTGTACATGCTTGTAGAGCAAAACCCAGAGTTCTGAACTGGACAAAAGAGGAACCGAACTGCCTAGGAGCCTTTTTGGAAAAAGAGACTGTTATCGCGGTCTGTTCATTTGGGCTGATCATCATCGGTCTGGGGCGCCGTCGACCTGCTCCATCTCAATTCATTCTTGTCCTGTAAATCTCCTTTCTCTTTTCTATCCCTCCAACTCTCCTTCTTTCTCTTGGATCTTTCTTTTCTATCCAAGCGCCGCATCAGTCGGACGCTGTGAGCAGGTATCATCCGCTTCGTTTTGACCTCTAGGAAGGTACACAAAAAGGAAGAAAAAATTCTAAAAAAAAAAAGAAAAATCAAAAGGAAAATCTGAAGATCAAAGGAGGAAGCTTCATCAGCAGAATCCGAAATCTCTTGTCAAACCTCACAATCGCTCTTTTCTCCATATTTTCCCTCCTCCAGCAGAGACTTGGGGGCTGGTGCCGACAAAACACTTGCTGGGCTGGTGAACGTCATTTAAAATCGGACCCTCCTGATCCCTACTCAGTTGGGTTTCTTATCATCATTCATTCGTTTCTCGGAGTCGTGAATCCTGGCATTCACAAAATCCCGACCAACGCATCCTGTCTCTGATCTGTTACTGCTTTCAAAGACGTCATTTCACCCGCTTGTACTCCGTATCGTTTACGACAACTTTGCACCCGCAGAAGACGTCGACAAGAACGTGCCCAGATCAATTTCCCACGTGGAGGAATACGCACTGGTAACGCTAATTACAGAGTCAATTGGCATCAAATTGATACAAGGTCAGTGACGTCGGTCTGAAATAGGAGTAAAATTGTTCGATAAATTCAAAGGATGAACCAACAACTTCCTATCGTGTAATAAAAGCGCAATTCGGATGATTGCTCTGGCTGACTTGCAGGCGCCTTCGCAGTTTTAACATTTTCAAAATTACATCAGGGACAAACCGCTGTCATTCTGAAGTAACATAAAGAGGGTTGGTGAAACGTCCCACTATTGGTGAGAAGTTCTATATCTGAGACACTCCTTATTCACAGTTTCCCCACTTTTCAACTGAACCACAGCCTGTCAGTGATCATCAGGAAGAGGGCTTGTCAGATTAACACCAATAAGAATGGCAACCGTATCGAGACCCCGGACTCCTGGGCAGACTCAGCCTTCCTCAGAAACACTTCCTCCCATCACAGAGAACGGCAACGGTCATCTCAAGGATCAACGTCGTGCATCATCTCTGGGGTTTCTTCGTCGCGCAAAGTCAACTGAGCCGCTGAGTGAAAGAAAAACGTCCGGAAGCAGAAGCAAGAAAAGAGCGCAGGCGCAGGAGGAGGAGCTTCGCCGTCAGCGCGAATCCATGCCGCAATTCCCTCCTCGTCTGCCCGACCTTGCACCGACGCCAGTCATCGAGACTTTCGGGGGCGACGGACAGCACGAAAGCGTTCCCACTCAGTCAACAGAGACAATTGCTTCTCATCACAACCTTGCCATTCGCAGCAATATGAGTACCTCTGCAGAGGCAGCTGATCCTTACGCGCGTACGGAGAGTATGACCCACCGTGGACGTTACAGCTATGCGAGCAGTGCTGTCAGTACGGTCAACAACCCGCGCAGGATGCGGAGGCGCAAGGATCCGACACCCTACAAGTGAGTAGCAACATCGCGTAGACAGTGGATGCGGAAATATGTGCTCACATTTCGACTAGTATCCTTGTTATCGGTGCTCGCAACTCGGGCAAGACCTCATTCTTGAATTTTCTCAGGAAATCTTTAACTATGCCGCCACACAAGCATCCCATTCGATCTCCAGAAGAAGTCGAAGCATACGAGCGCCACTCACCTGCCAACGAAGGCTTCACCTCTCACTACCTTGAAACCGAGATCGACGGCGAGCGTGTGGGTCTGACCCTGTGGGACTCTCAGGGACTGGAAAAAAATATCGTGGACATTCAACTGCGCAGTGTCACCGGATTTCTGGAGAGCAAATTCGAAGAGACCTTGCGCGAGGAGACGAAAGTGATTCGGTCCCCCGGCTTCCGGGATACACATATCCATTGCACTTTCTTGCTTCTCGACCCTGTGCGTCTGGATGAGAACATCGCTGCCGCTGAACGCGCTTCCCAGGGAACTTCCAAAGCCACCGATACGCCCGTGATTGGAGTTTTGGATGAGTTCCTCGATATTCAAGTTCTACGAACTGTCTTGGGGAAGACCACTGTTGTTCCTGTCATCAGCAAGGCCGATACAATCACCACAGCGCACATGAGCTATCTGAAGAAGGCGGTTTGGCAGAGCTTAAAGACGGCGAACATTGACCCTCTCGAAATCCTCACTCTGGAGGACCAGGACGAATATACGTCTTCAGAAAGCGCTGACGAGGATGAGGCGGGAACTGACGTGGACAGCAACGCGAATGAGGAGCACAAGGCGGAATCGGACCCTGTCGATAACGGCAAAGCCGAGGTCTGTACTCCAAGCTCACCGTCCCAGCGAAGCGAAGGAACAGCTCAGTCTTCAGGATCTCAAGCCGCGTCTCAATATCTTCCGTTCTCAATTCTATCCCCAGACCCTCACTCACTTGAAGCTGGGGACGAGCCAGTTGGTCGCAAATTTCCCTGGGGTTTCGCTAACCCGTATGATCCCGCACACTGCGATTTTGTGAAGCTCAAGGACTCTGTTTTCAACGACTGGCGCGCTGAACTCCACGAAGCCAGTCGTGTTGTTTGGTATGAGCGATGGAGGACTAGCCGTCTGAACCGCAACGGTATCTCCGCCTCGCCGATGCAAAAGATTTACAGTGGGCGAATGGGTCCTTCCAATGAGGGCCGCCGAACACGGTAGGAAGTTGCAGTTTGTAGCTCTGCTTCGTGTCTTTGAATAGTCATTCAGTTCATCGCCTCATTGGGAAACGACCTGAGGTTTCGACACCCACATCGAACCTCTTACTTGCATCCTTTGGTGGTTTGAAGTGTGATAAGCTATCAAGTGCTCATTTGACTTGCAATTTGCTTTCTTGGCAAATGTATTCCTTTCTTTCTCTTTCTGTTCTTTAGAGGTTCTCGACAATTGCCAATGGTTGGGGATACCTTGTGTGATGTCTTCCTCGCACATTGAAATGTTTGAGCCTCGCAGATGGAGCAAATTATTTGTCTCCGTCTCAGAATCACTCGCTCAGAGACCCGAGATCCGGATGAGCAGCTTTGCAGTAGCTCATCTGGATACAAAACCACACTGTCGATTACTTTCTCCTGCTCTACCATTTGCCGCCAATTTCTGACTTCCTTTATACCACTTGCGTGTTTTCTGTGATATCACTTTTGATGACCTGGTACCTTGTGATTCCGAATACGAGCGGTGTACCGAATACCACGAGCATATTGCGCCATCATGCTTGTTTCTTTTCTTTCCAGATCTGGTTGTTAATCCTCCCAGACGGTGTATTTCCGATTCCCGTTTGAATCAGAACTAGTTTCTCTTCTCCACACCATTTTTCTTCCTTGAAAAATGACATTCATAATGTTTGGCTAGCTGATCTGTTATTCTTTGTCTCCCTTCTATGGCCTCACGCTGCTTGCCGATTCTCAGTAGTATGCCTTCTTGGCTCCGTCTCCAGATTAAGTGTGATATTTATGGACTTGATGTTCTCGGGATTCAAGATGAGATATTACTACTAATACGGGGTAATTCGCACTACTGACTGTACTATGTGGATGGCAAGGCTGAGAAAAAGCTCAATTTGGCCAACCCTGCCCAGAACTCCATCGCCTGTCGTAGACCAATCAGTCTTCCTTGAGTAGGTAAGATCGGTAACTAGGTAGGTAGATACGAATCATACGAGGCACTAAGTCTGCAGGAGGGTCGTTTGACTCAGTCCAACTGTGGGCCATTTTCTGGCAGTGTCATTGGCGTGCACTACGGGTTGAATGATTTGGAGGTGACTTTGATTCGTTGCAGCTGGGCATCCTCTGTTATCTACCTTACTGCAAACTACTGCACACATCCTGGCGCCTTCATCAGAAGACAGGAAGTACAGCTGAGCTTCAGCAAAGAGTGCGGCTCAAACTTACAGGCAGCGCAAGATGAGCGCGTGGAGATCTTTCCTAGAGATGATTGAGGTACTCGAAATGGGAAAGAAAATTTGATGTTCTCTTTTTTTGACCTTCCAACCCAGAGCATGCTTATCGAATTGTGACCAGCCCCGCGAATTCCAGCGCGGGACGAGACACCTTGAGCTTTTGTGCGTGATTCCTAATCCTCCCATTCTTAGCTTCAACCTGTTCAGCTGGACTTTGGCGCGACCGCCGATGATCACAGTAGAATTCAGCCTCGGGCCAGTAACAAAAAGAAAGCGGTTCGCTCGAGTCGCTTATGAGCTCTGATTCTCTGACCGATCTTTTTTCTGTTTTCTCTTTCTCACATCTCTAATCTGCTTACTCTCCTTTCGCTGCTTTGTAAATCTTGACACTTTCGATCCTTTTTGCCCTATATTTCCACCACATTGCTTCATTATTCCCTGTTCTGTTGCTATTATACATCCTTTGAGCTTCTGGTTGTCACTGTGGTTATAATTGGGTTCTCGCAGCGTCTCTCAAAACCATGTCACTGCAGGTCAATGACCCACGGTCGCGTGGCCGTTCCAAGTCTCCGAGCGGGCGAATCCGCGATCGTTCCAAATCTCGCGACAGCCGACTACCCTCTACCGCTCACGACGCTGCGAGGTCATCGGAGAGAAAGTATCTCGTTACCGATGCGAGGGACGACCATCTACGGTCGAGATCCCGCGGCCCCCGAGACAGCAACACTTCAATCGCTAGTCATCGAAGCCGTTCCCGATACGATGTCTCAGACTCGGCGTCAGAACGGGATGATCGCAAGGACAAATATCTGCGCAGCGAGCGACGTCGAGACCACTACTACCAATCGGACGCAGGGGAAAGCAAGTCTGCAAAGCGCGATGACAGAAACGGCTATGCGCGCTCGCCGAACCTTCGACCTGTGAGGTACGATAGTCCCTCAGATGACTCTTACTCGGACACGGACGATGAGGCGCTGGCCTACGGCGATGTCCCTAGCGATCTGGAGCGTGATTTCTACGGATATAGAAAGCCAGCGCATGCGCCCTCGCCTCATGTAGATGGTCCAGTTATGTCTGGGGCACTCAATGGCGCTCCCCCTGTCAAGCAGCATTCGTCTCGTTCCCATCATGCTTCAGATGAGGACATTCCCGGCCATCATCCCAGCTATGCCAGATCCGGACAGTTCCAGTATGCCATGCCGTCACAGTATGGCCAATTCCAGCCTAGCTATCCTTCGACATCATCTGCGCCGCAGTCAAATTGGGCCCCCATTCCAGAGTGCGAACGACCGGGGTTCGTGCCGCCTTCGTCACAGGCCGAGACGCAATCGATCCCAGGAGCATTTCCGCAAGCTGTGTCGACCTACCCTGAGATGACTGGTGCACCTACTGCTCCTGTCTTTCCAATGCCTCAATATGCGAATATAGGGCAGCAGAATCCATACGCGACTCCCAACGGTCGTCCGCTTTCCGTCTCCAATGCTTACGCTCCGGCCGTCAGCTCTCCGACTCATCAGCGCGCTTTATCAAGCGATGCAAATACTCATCCAGCGTACGCTAATCCTGCACCTTTTCAATACGCCCATATCGATCCAAATGTGAAATATGGCTCCAAGAATGGTGCAGTGCCGTACAAGTACTCTACGACACCCCAGTTCTCCAAACCGAGTGCAGCACCGACAGCCGAATCCCAACCTACTAGGGCCAAATACTCCGCAGTCCCACAATTTCAGAAGCCAGCCGCGACCACTCGTCAGGAGAATGAACAGCGATTTATCGAGATAACGCCCGGGAATCGGACCACTGGCCGCCCTGCCAGTCATTCTGTCTCCTCTGCGAACAACCTTTCAGTCGCGGGTGCTGACCCAGACCTTCGACCTGCAAGCCCCATGCTAGAGCCTTATAAGGGCACATATCAATCCATATCTCCTATGCCGTCTCCGATTGTGATCCCATCCAAGTTCGACGACGACATCTCTGACTTTGAACCACTCGACGGAAGCTCAGACGCGGACGGGAGGAGGAGACACTCGCGAAAGAAGTCCAAGGATGAAAGGGATCGCAAAGAGCTGAAGCCCGAACGCGCTAAACGTGACAGCAGCCGGGTTCGTCACGGCCGACATGAATCTCAAGACCAGGCAGTGGTATTGATCTCACCCGGCAGCGTCCGGAAGAAGGTCACATTTTATGACCCCGCTCCGGACGCAACTACCATGCAGGAGGCTTTGTCGCACACCATCAATATTGATACCAAGGCTCTCATTCGGGTACTGCCTCATCTATCCAGCGAGGAAATGCTAGACTTGCGCAAGGAATACAAGAGTCACGTGAAGCTACAGGGCAAAGGCATCAATATGGCCAAACATATCCGGCTGAAGCTGGGCAACAGTGCGTTTGGAAAAGTATGCTACGCGACCGCCCTGGGCCGCTGGGAGTCCGAAGCGTACTGGGCCAATTGCTACTATCAGTCTAGCACCTCGCGGCGAGAACTCCTCATCGAGTCTCTGATGGGGCGTAGCAACAGCGACATCCGTGAGATCAAGGAATGTTTCCGTGACTCAAGGTACTTGGACAGCCTGGAAAAGTGCATGAAGGCGGAACTCAAGGCGGACAAGTTTCGAGTTGCGGTGCTGCTTGCCCTCGAGGAAACACGGCAGAGCGAGCGTGAGTCCATTGATCCCGATCTGGTCCAGCGCGACGTTCGGGACTTGTACGGGGCGCTGATGTCACGGCACGGGGGCGAGACCGCAATGATCTACATTATTGTACGACGGAGCGACGCACACTTGCGGGAGGTGCTCCGCGCTTATGAGAAGATCTACAATCAGAACTTTGCCCGTGCGATGATTGCCAAGTCGCAGAATCTTGTGGTACGTATCTCCACTTTTAATTCTCCGAGTATCTCTCATGACCTTCTTCTAACTTGATTGATGACAGGGTGAAGCACTCGCGCATATTCTTAACGGGGCCATCAACCGACCTATGCGCGATGCTCTGCTGTTGCACCAAGCTCTCAGGGAGACTCGCTCGGGCAAGGAGCGGTCCGAACTTCTAATCTCCCGGTTGGTGCGCTTGCATTGGGAGCCACGGCACCTGGAACAGGTTAAGAACGAGTATCGTCGGCGTTATGGGGAGCGTCTTGAGGAGGCGATTGCCGAGGAGATTTTACCGTCGCCCGGAGGAAGCGAATGGGGCGAGTTCTGTATTGAGTTGGCGCGCAGCTCGAAGACTCTTACTGGGCGGGGATGATGTTTCCTATCATACTTAACGATTTCGGGTTATGAGTAATGCGTCATGAATTGCTTGGTTTTACGCCACGGGAATGGTGTTATATCCTCTTGGTGTTGTTTTGATTTATGGATCAAGCAAAATAAACAGAGGAATCTCTTCTTCAGGGGTTGATGCATGCTTGACAGGGGTACACTAAGTACCTTGCTGTAAACATCCTGAAAGCGAAGACTAACTACGCCTAGCGGCTTAGTGAAACTAAGCGTTAAGCCTTGACTAACTAGGAGGTCGGTTCCCAAATCCCATAGAGGGATTACCGCGGGCGAATTGTCGCCTTTCAAAAGGACAAGTGCTTGAAAAATTAGTATCTAATATGCACAGTTAAGTCTGCAAGTGAGATAAGCACTCATTCCACTGATCCTTGGTAGGTAGATTCTCACTCTCATCCCAATAGCATAGCGAAGGCTCCGTGATGAATGCAGACGAGGTATCTTGCGGTGTGGTCAATCAGAGGAGAGATACCAGTAGTCCTGCACAGAGATTCCGACGGTAGGGATGTAACTATTGAACTGAATTCTCAAGCCAGGAATCTGCGTGTTTGTGTTTCGACCGGATGGGTTTAGTGGTTGAATCTTGAGATACACAAGGTGGTATTTACCAATAGTCTCCTTGGACAATGCAAGGGGTATTGGGGCGAACAGAATCAGTCAGTACGGTACCTGTAGTTGTATCTACTCTGTACCTGCGTCGAATAGGACTCCTCCACGCTGCTGTGGAACCTCCCTTAGATCCAGATATCTATTTATCATCTGCTCAGCTCTGAGGGTCCGTTTTTCTCCGCATTTACGGTACTTGACCGAGTAGTCGGCACTCGGCAATTCCAAGTAAACAAAATGCGGGCAGTAGTCTTGTGAAAGTGGCAGAGGTTGAGGGCATCTGATCATTTTCGACCGAGGGATCAATAAAAGTAGACTAAGAAAGCCACCTTAGCAATGTAACGATACTTATGACTCGCGGTCTGGCGATCTTGCGGGACTACCCCACACTACATATCAAGACTTTCTTGAGGGCTGACGGTTGGCTTATGCCTTGTCCAAGATTTTTTTTAACCTTGAGTGATGAGCCTCTTCTCCTGTGTCGAGTGGAGGCCGTGGAAACCTGCAGCAGGAGAAAATACGGTCACAGCGAAATTGTATCCATCAATCTGACCTGGCTCCCTCCCTCCGATGTTCCTGGCCTCTCACATGATGGTATCACAAATCTCGGTCACATTGGCAATTTGCAAGTTCGGAGATGATAACTCCTCTGCAAATGGCTGTAGATAGTGCAACCTATGCTTCGACGACTTCGAGTCGTATGGTTTATCCGAGGAGAATGGCGGTGGTGGTGGATCTGAAGCCAGTGCACTGCGGTGTTGCATGTCACTTTCCCATTTGGGATTTGTTGTGCAATTTCCCGTCTGGTCTTGTTGTCTTCGTCTCAACATACCTTTGCAGCTTTCCTCTTTTCTCCTCTTTTCTTGTGCTCTCCAACTAGTCACCATTAGCTCTTATATTACCAACTCCGACCAATGTCATTCTCTTGGTTTGACTTATCTCTAGCTCCATCCTGTGTTGACTGACAGTGCCTGTCGTTACTCCTCCCTTCCAAGTTGGTAAGCGTCTTCTGACTCACGATGTGCCATTTGGGCTCAATTGGACTCATACTTAGTCCCCTTAGGCTTGCTACCCTATGCTCAGGTGGATCTCCTGAACAAGCACTATCGAAGCTTAGTGCATGCACCTTTGGCTTCATCAGATCGCTATCAGCCTATAGACGGCCCATACCTCAGCAATCACACTGGCCGAGAACAGCGAGAGAGGAATGAAAGATTAATTATCTGCACATTGCATGGTAAACAGTCCGATCATCCCCCACATACTTGCCCCTCCCCCTGCCCTTGTTCCTTCATGTCCTTCCCTTGGCCCTATGAGTAGGAGGTCCATGTGTCTCTTCATGCGGACAATGACAGGTCAGACGACTTTTGGGAAGTTTTCTATCATGCGTGTTTCCATTCCTCAGTTTCTTCTAGACCGTGGCTCGACTGACTGATCTCTAGTCTAGTCACTTCTGACTTTCTCCGTCTCAGGCTTGTTCCTTACGTCTGGTATGTCGATCTTGCCCAGCTATAAAACCTCCCCTAGAATTCCAGTAAACATTCTCAATTGGCAGTTTTTGCTTATCGTGGCAAAATCGCTGATCTGTTGTGTAGCTTCCAGACCAGACTCTTCATAAAATCTTCCATGTGTCCTGCTTGATCGCCCGGTAAACACTATCACTATGCAGCTATTTCCTCTTGGCGTGTTGATCACCTTCCTGGCTTCTCTAGCAGGAGCGGTGTCAACTTTTTCTCCTGCACGACCTCCTGCGCTGCCGTTGGCAGTAAAGTCTCCTTACTTGAGCACATGGCTTACTGCAGGAAGTGATGGAGGTAACGGTGGCTATTTGGCCGGCGAATGGCCGACTTTTTGGGAGTAAGCATCTGCTACTAAACATGTACGCACCTTTCTGACAAGAAACTACAGGGGTCAGATCAATGGCTGGGCTGGGCTAATCCGTGTCGATGGTGCTGTCTACACATGGATGGGTTTGCCTGGAACGACAACTGCCAACCAGACTGCATATGAATACACCTCGACAAAAAGCATCTTCACATTCCATGTGGGAGACGCTGTGGAGATGAAAGTCACATTTTTGTCTCCCATAACGCCGAATGATCTACGAAGGCAGTCATTGACATTCTCCTATGTTCACGTCGCGATTTCGTCAATTGACGGCGGCTCTCACGACGTACAGCTCTACTCTGACATTTCTGCCGGTGAGTCTGGATTCAAAACTCGGATCTGCAAGTTTCGCTTGTCCTGACGAACGCTTAGAATGGGTGTCTGGAGACCGCACTGCTATTGCGGAGTGGGAGTATGGTGTCACAGGCAATGGGGTTGCTTATCATAAGGTCTACCGTCAGACCCAACTGCTTTTCTCGGAAGTCAGAGATCAAGCGGAATGGGGTAACTGGTACTGGGCAACTGAGGATAGTGAGAAAGTGACGCACCAGTCGGGGGCTGATATTGCTGTTCGGGGTGCATTCGCCGCTAATGGAACCTTGGGTGATTCGAAAGACTCAAGCTATCGTGCCATCTCCACAAATTGGCCGGTTTTCGGGTTTGCAATTGACCTGGGATCGGTTACATCGTCCTCAGTCGAGACACACTTCACTATTGGGCTTGCCCAAACTGAAGCGATCCAGTACAGCAGTCCCGATGGCATTCGGGCGGAGCCCTCCTTGTGGACAAGCTATTTTGACGACGACTTGGCTGCTGTGAGCGCTCTTGCCATCTGATGCATACTTCTGCTGCTAATTGTCTATCCTTTGCTATGTTCCAGCTCGAGTTCTTCCATTACGACTATTCAACAGCAAACGAGCTCTCTTCGGCATTGGACGAGAAGATTGCGCGGGACTCCATAGCAGCGGCTGGTCAAGACTATTTGACTATTACCTCTCTCAGTGCTCGTCAAGCCTTCGCTGCAACCCAGTTGTGCGGCACGCCGCAAAATCCATATCTCTTTATGAAGGAGATATCTTCCGACGGCAATATGAACACTGTGGACGTCGTTTTCCCTGCTCATCCAGTATTCCTGTACACCAATCCAGAGCTGCTCGAGCTTATTCTGAAGCCCCTTTTTGAAATCCAGGAATCCGGGCAATACCCTAACGCTTATGCGATGCATGACATTGGAAGCCATTATCCCAACGCTACTGGCCACCCTGAAGGCAATGATGAACCAATGCCGCTCGAAGAATGTGGAAATATGATAATCATGGCTCTGGCGTACGCACTCAAGTCATCCAACCCAGGTTATCTGAACAAACACTACGCATTGTTGGAGCAGTGGACATCATACCTGGTCGACGAAGCTATCTACCCGGCGAATCAGATATCGACGGACGACTTTGCTGGCGCTTTGGCGTAAGTACTGACCCAGGATTGAACCGTTGACGTGCTCTAAAATTCTTCTATAGCAACCAAACCAACCTGGCTCTGAAGGGGATTATTGGTATTGAGGCCATGGCGACCATTAGCAAGCTAACCGACCACGCTGATGCAGCTACCAATCGTTCTGCTATCGCCCACGATTATATCGATAGGTGGCAAGTACTGGCTATTGCTCATGAGGCGGATCCTCCGCATACCACATTGTCTTACGGCTCAAATGATTCTCACGGTCGGTTCTAGCTTCTCTTCTTCCTTTCCGCGGTATTCGTAGCTGATCGATAACAGGTCTCCTGTACAACCTTTACACCGACCGTGAGCTGGGCTTGAACCTGGTGCCCCAATCTGTTTATGATATGCAGAGCGAGTTCTACCCAACAGTGAAGACGAAGTATGGTGTGCCGCTAGACACTCGACACCAGTACACTAAAGGTGAATTTCTGTCCTTTCGTATACCTTTGTTTACGCCTTCATTTAGGATTCTGCATTTAAGAGAATATTCAATGACCTGACATGAGCCTCGTAGGTGATTGGGAACTGTTCACAGCAGCGGTTGCCTCGACGAGTACGAGGGACATGTTCATTGAGTTGCTTGCGAACTGGATCAATCAAACACCTACCAACCGCGCTCTTAGTGACCTCTATGATACTGTTAGCGGAGAGTAAGTTTTCCTTGTTGATGTAGTGATTGCGAGCGCTGCTGACATTTCAGTTATCCCGGAATCACCTTCATTGCGCGACCCGTAATGGGCGGTGGTTTCGCCTTACTACTTCTGGAGCAGGGTCTTTGATAAGCATTGATACCCCATAGATCGTGCCAGACGTTTTGCCTGTCGGTTCGGCTGGGACACAAGCTTATTATTCTTCTGTATGAATTCTTGGATATGGCTTGGATATGTCTATTATTATACCATCTTTAGACCAAGTATACGTCGCCGAAGGCCGCTGCTTGACATTCAGCACAGCCAGGTTCAAGTTGCACGTACACAGTCTGTTATGCATGACCGTCACAAGATCACAAATGCTGTATTAATTCCTAGGAGCCACTTGCAAATAAGAAGTAGATTCAGCCTTGGTGAGCGATAACTGGCATCGAGGAAATGACGAATGCCTCACTTTATCTGCATAGGATGCATTCTATCCTCCTGTCGTCTTGTCGTCCAATTGGCTGACCGAATTGAATATAACCACGAGTTATACATCGAATGGCATGGCTACAAGACGCATCGGCGAGGGATGATTCAGAGATCATGGGACGCTCCAACCGAGTCATTCCAAGCGTCAAAAGAACGGATCAGATCTATAAAGGTCAGTACGGATAAGCACCCTGTCGTTAGGGAGATCTACATACTGTAATATAGAACCATTGCCTCGAGGTGCACATCGATAGCTACTCGCTCGTCGACCGTATGGATGTTCAGGCTACCGCCCCTGCGAGACGGACTCCAGCGGTAGATGTTCCGCGACAGGGCCCAGTAGAATCTGGTGTCGGTGTTTCCCGTCATGATGTCGCCGCTGACCACCACCGTCTTGCCCTTCAAGCTGGGGACGGACTCAAAGGAGGTACGCGCGACACCCGCGAACCGAGCCCAGACGGCGTCGGTGTCGATGTTGGTAGGACTCACGGGAGCAGGGACAAGAGGCGTGGTGAGAGTCGACAAGGTGAGATGATTGTTGACGGCTGGTTTATCGGCGGTGGGCTGTTTCTGGAAAGGCGGTCCACGACAAATTGTGCTTGTCGGCGATGGGGGCGATGATGTCGATGGCGCGCTGCTTGATGAGTTCTGGGGTTTGATGGAGGGCGATGCGGTAGTTGACGAGCGCGGAGATCTTCTCGGGGAGAGCGTTGGATTTGATGCCGCCGTTGAAGATGTCGGCGGCCTGCGAGGTTTGCAGGATGTATCGGAAGGCGTCGCCGCGGGAGGATGCGAGTTTCTCGGCTAGCGCGACGTGGTCAGACGACTGAAGGCCGGAGGCGAGCCAGGGCTCGACGTGGTTGGGGGAATAGCGAGCCTGACATTCGAGCATCCGGCGAGAGGGGTGGTCGTCGGTAAGGATAGGGACGAATAGGTCCTGTCGCTCGAGCTCGTAGATGATCTCAGCCATGATGCCGATCCCCGTGTGAGGAGGTGGGATGGAGCTGTGGCCGCCGGCGATGTCGAGAGAGAGCACAATATCTATACTGCCTTTCTCTCCTACGCCAGGGAGCGCGTAAACGACATCATCGCCCAGAGTCTCGAGCCCCATGCCGCCCTCGTCCAGGATGAACTCGAAGCTGTCTGGGCCGTACTTTTCTTCTAGGGCAGGGGCGAGCGAGCCAGCACCGAGGAAGCCATGAGATTCCTCGTCAAACCCGAAGGCGAGAACAATGGTGCGTGTCGGCTGCCAGTTCTGCTGGAGCAGATCTTCAATGACGGACAGGAGGCCAATCAAGACGTTCTTGCAGTCGCTAGCCCCTCGGCCCCAGAGCCATTCGCCATCGAAGTGACCGGCAAAGGGTGGGTAAGTCCAGTCGGAAGGATCATTGATCGGTACAACGTCTTGGTGAGCCATGAACAGGATCGGTTTAAGTGAGTCATCGGTGCCATTGAGGGTATAGAGCAGGCCGAGTCTGTTGATATGATCCACGTAGGCATACGAATGACTGAACATATCATTTTAGCAGCCCTCCTTCTAGTTAATTAGGAGAGGAATGCATACATCAGAGGAAATAGCGATTCCAAGAGCTCTTGGAAGTCAACAAAGGGAGCGAACCACTCGTCAAACGGGTCCTTCATGTAGTCATTCACCGTGGTGGGAATCTGGACGGCTCTTGAGAGACGGTCAACCTGCTGCAGCCGAATGGCCTCATCCTGGACATATCGAAGCGCAGAAAGCAGACCATCTTCAGGCACTTCGACCTTGGGTGCCAGAGGGCAGATGTTGTTGGTGCCAGACCAGGACTTGAGGATCAGCTGCGGAGAAGGAATGCTGAGTGACATAGCCGAGGGTATTCCAAACCCCACGACGGCCGGGACGACGTGGGCAAACCACCGCATTTTCTTTGGTTTTCCGGGACCAGATTTGTGTGTAAATCGCAGAATTGCACTAGAAAGGGGAGGAAGCCAGCATAGCGTTGTTCAAGAGATTTATCCTATCTCTGGCTGCAAGTCCGTACTCCGCAGCTGTTATCAGTGCGATCTCCTTCTCCGCATGCACTTCCGTCACTTTGCATCTTCACCAGTGTGAAACGTCTAATTCGCAGGCCAGGATAGATAATGGCGGGTCAGTCCGCTCGCCAAAGGATCGCTTTGCCCGATCGGGAAGGTCATAAGCGGTTGGTCGATGATGATGAATCTCTAGCGAAAATGATCTGATCGACGATGAACGAGATATTTAGGATGTCAACTGTCCAGGAGATTTTGGCTTACCGGCATGTTTGGAAATTATCAGACTCAACCTCACCTCATGAGCCCCATGGTAGTATGGATTGGTGAGATTGCGAGCTACTGCCAGGTCCAGGCAGGAGACAGAGATTCCTCCTTGTTGATAACGCACGGCTGAAGCTTGGAGCGAGACCAGGAGCTATGCTTCGAAGCCGTTCAGCATAGATTGAGTCGATTGTATCCCTCCCAGAGGATATAATCGACGAATGGATCATCATGATGGCTTGCATATCGCTGGCCTGGGAGATCTTCGCCTCCTTAGCTTACAGGCTGGAGTCTTTATTATTTGGCAAATATCGCTACGATGATTTTATCATCACGAGGCATTGAATCGATGAGCACAAATAGTTGAGAAGTGAATAAGCGGAAGATGGATGGATGGAAGAAAAACCAGCATAGTTGATTTCCTTTGTTGACCAGGGTCAGGTGCCGTCTCGTGACGATGCAGTTGGCCCATCTTCATTCTTGGGCATCTCGAGGCTCTGGCGAATTTTGGCAAAGAATCCAAAGCGAGTGGTCTAACTATGCCTTATCTTAGATCTTCCGTCAGACTAAAATTCCACGAGCCTGATCAGGCTGATAAAAACCCCGAAGCCGTTGCAAGCTGTAACACCACCCGAAAAGAGCAAGCAACCTGGTGACTGTCAACGGACAATACTGGATTGCTCCGTGAGGAGACGGGTAGTTGTCTCAGAAAACAATAGTATGTTGATCCTTGACATCACCAAGGGAAAATGGAACCACAAACTAGTGAAATTCGTTGACGCTAAACCCCCGACTGCGGCGGTCAAGCTGAGCAGCCATAAGCAAGCGTGATAAAAAAGAAATGGTGCCTCGGGAGCGCAAGGGATCGTCGAAACTCCCTGCCACAGTGCCACTCCGAGGGTTTGGGAACTGTCGATCAAACCAATGAACTTTTTTGGGAACCTGGAGAAATAGAGGAATCCTCGGATCAGCATTCTGATGCGGTTTCAGTCTGCTGACAATTTGCCTTGACAGTCATACATCTACTCCATACCTGGAGAAAGTGAAACCTGACGCTGGCAGCCCCCATCTTAAATTTAGAGATGGGTCCTATTTAAGAACAAGGGCTCCCTGCTGTCCCTCTACACATTTATGACCATTGATTAACCCACTCGCTTTGTTTTTTCCAGCTTTGATCTTCTATTTTATCGATTCATTTTTTGAATTACTGCTCGCGAGCAATTAAAGCAGTCACTCTTTCCTAACTCTCGACCAAAATGTCTCCAAAAATTCTCAACCTCGCATTCCTCTCGCTTATGTCCCTCACACCCCATGTCCTCGCATCCAAGGATTCATCAGCTTGCTACAACAGCCCCGGAGATCTGACCCTGGCCGGCTCCTCTCAGTTCATGTCCCGTGGCATGTGCGAGAACAAGTGCGACAAGAACGCCGTCCTTGCCGTCCAGGGAACCGACTGTTACTGCGGCAGCAGTCTCCCTCCGCCTTCCGCCAAAGTGTCGAACGACAAATGCGATACTCCGTGTCCAGGATATCCAGTTGACTACTGTACGTGTATATAAACACCGTTGCCTTGCAAACCAAGCAACCAAGCAGACAGCTAATTTGTGCGCGAACAGGTGGCGGCTCCAAAACCTGGACAGTCATGTATGACACCGGTCTCCTCGAGGAGGACAGCAACGATTCCTCTTCGACCTCGCTGACAGTCAACCCGACTCTTGTGGCTACCATCACCAAGGACAGCGCCAATCCCACAGCGACCATCCCAGCTGAGATCCTGACAGCACCCTCGGCCACCTTCACGCAGCACCCTGGCGTGGCGCATGGCGTGTCGTCCGGCGCTGCGTCCTCGTCTGTAGCCGCTGCTGCGTCAAAGTCGGCAAGCGCTTCTTCTGCCTCTGCATCGGCCTCATCCAGCACGCCGTCGGCTTCGCCCTCCGGTAGCGTTGGGTCCGCTGCGACCTTGAGTCGCTCGCTGGGGGCCGCTGGGTCGGTTATGGGGACGATTTTCATCCCATTGGTTATGTCTTGGTTCTAAGTGATACCCGCTCTACCATGCTCCGCCTCCACGAATGAACAAATATCCTGTTGAATTGTTAATATGTGAGATGGTTTTGGAATATTACTGCTTACTGAGCGGATGCGATTACTGGATATACGTGATCTACTTGGGCCAAGGACTAGTTTGGGTACGAATCTAAGACAGGATGCTGGTTGTGCTGGATCCTCCAAAGTCCTCTCTTAATCGCTGGTCGATTCGATGCTGGACGTCGTTCGCTAAATTTTGCGAGGTGGTGTTCTGGGGATTCACCATTTAATCTACAGTCATCAACGACACATTGTGAATAATCTCTTTTTTAAAAAAAAAATTTAAAGAAAAAGAGATTTTAAATAATACAGAGGTTTCTAACCAATAGCCAATAATTAGGATTCAAGGGTATCATAAAGCCAAACATCACCCAGAAAGATAAGGATGTAGTTAATCTCTACCTCCAAGGCACGAGACTAGTGGAAGCACCGTTTCCTACTCAATCTATATCAGGTACCTCTCGGTGAATATATGGAATGATCGAAATACTATAATTCCGAAAGAAGCGGTGTCTAGGCAGTAGTACTTGAGTTTCTCTGCACTCGAGACCTGAGGCTTGCAAGTCCATGAGATAACTCAATGTCATAAAAAGTATCCGCGTCCGCTAACGAGAACCGACCACAACCCGACTGATGAGTCTGATAGGTGCATAAGCGAGTTGATATGGCAATAATAAGAGTTCTATTCAACGATCTTTGCTGTCGTCTCTCCGAATTGACGTTTGCGGTGGAAACTGATTTAATGGCACGTGACGTTGAGGTTGCCCCTTTTGCGGCCGGAAAAGTTCCTGGATGAAACCTTGCGTTGGCTCATGAAGCGATATACTGTTATTCCACCTGGCTTTGTGAATTCTTTCTTTTCATTTTTCTTCTATTAGCACTCTGGTGCCTTTTGCTTCGTTTAATTCTCTTTATCTTTCTTAATCATCAACAATCAAGACGTTGCTGGGTACGTGCCACGAGCTGTCGATCACTCCACGGTCCTGTACCAGGGCTTTACTCCTCGAACCATTTGCGTGCATATATCTTTAATACTTTCATCGAACTCTCTTCGTCGACTTCTAGAAACTTGCCCGCGATCCTTCGCTGCATTCAAGATGCGGTTCTCCTATCTTTCATCTCCAGCTGTCCTATTTCTATTACCAGCCATTTCGACGGCTGTCGCCGATCGAGTCTCCACGGACCAAAGTCTCACACCGCGTGATTTTACGACTCCAGATCCAATTGTTCCAGCTAGAGACGGACTTGCTCCCAAGGCTACTCCCAAAGGGACGCTGGACGCCCCATTCGATGGAAAAGATGGTCGACCTCACGCTGGTCCGTGGGTCGAAACGAATGCTGAACGAGACCGCAAAAAGGCGGGTACGGTGAAGACTGTGGAGGAAGGTTCGGGACCTGAAACAAAACCGGTCGACCATCAACACATGGGACCGGACGGGAAACCGATTCCTCATTCGAATGACGGTGTGATGGACGATCCGCTTAGGACGGGTCCCAAAGAGGGAACTCGGGGTACGGAGGGTGGAGTGTCCGAAAAACTAAAGGGTAATACTCCGGCCGGAGAGAAGATACCTGATAGTCCAAAGGAAGCGCCTCCTTTGCCTCATAGTGAACAGAAGAAGCTGTCGACGTCGGAGCACACTGAGGAAGGCAAAGAGGCGAAGGGCTCTACTGGCAATTCAAACCTGGGCGTGCTTGAGGTAAAGTGCTGCCGACTTTCGTTTCTGGCTTGATTGTGACTCACACAACGTTGTAGAAACCAGGTGACTTGCCAGAAAAACCGCACGATATCCCTCCCCCTAAATCGCCAGCAACTGTGAACGATCATCCTCTTGGCCTTCACGCAGACGGCACATCCTCGAAAACTGGGACGAATTCGGGACAACAGGGCGAAGGCTCGGCATTCCACTCACTTCTTTTCTCCTTTACGATGATCGTGGTCTCCGAGATTGGCGATAAGACTTTTCTGGTGGCTGCCCTCATGGCCATGCGACATCCACGCTTGCTTGTTTTCTCGGCGGCATTCTCTGCGCTTATTAGCATGACAGTGCTCTCGGCTATCTTGGGACATGCAGTACCAACACTCATTCCCAAGTCTTTTACCAAGTTTCTGGCAGCTGTGCTATTCCTTGTCTTCGGACTGAAGATGCTTAAGGAAGGCCGCGAGATGTCGCCGGATGAGGGTGTTGGCGAAGAAATGAAGGAAGTCGAGATGGAACTTGAGGAGAAGGAGCAAGAGCAGTTGCGCATGAGCCGGCGCCGCTCCTCCGTGACACTTCATTCTTTGGAAGCTGGCCGACTTGGTGGGCGTCGCAAGTCTCGCTCATCCACCAATCGCTTCCCTTCGCCCCCTGAGAGTATTTCATCATCTTCCTCGCGATCATCTTCGCCAGGACCTGGTCGCCGTTGGAGCAACATCTTGACTGGAATAAACAATCTTTTCTCGCTTCTTCTCAGCCCTGCATGGGTACAGACTTTTGTCATGACCTTCCTTGGGGAATGGGGTGATCGGAGTCAAATCGCGACCATTGCCATGGCTGCCGGACAGGATTACTGGTGGGTGACGGTTGGTGCCATCTCCGGCCATGGTATTTGCACTGCTGCGGCAGTCATTGGAGGTGCTGCTATTGCTGGCAAAGTCAGCATGCGGGTTGGTATGTAGACTTCTAATCTTCCCTGGCCGTTTGAGCACAAGCTAACATTCTATCCAGTGACGCTTGGTGGTGCTGCGGCATTCCTAATATTTGGAGTCATATATTTCATAGAAGCCCTTTACTAGCTTTCGGGTGATTCACTCAGCTTAGTCTTAGACTCAATCTTAGCATACAGGGTTGATTATCTCGTCATGATTGCTCCCTCATGGGACAGTAAAGTTCGATGGTATGTCTGTATATCGATGCTTTTGCTGTAATATAACGGATGAACCTCATGGTCTGGATAAACCACTTGGAAATTGTGACCGGCGCACGTACAGTGCGCAGCGATCTTAGCAGTCCACGTGTAGTGAGTAAAAATACCAATCGATCATTTTCTACTGTGCAAAGGCGGCTCATCGCAATTTGGACGGTTTCGCCTCCGAGTAAGCTCTCCGAGAGATCCTCAGCTAATTATGAATTTTCTCTTTGAAATGAAACTCATCCCTCTGATATTACTGCTGAATGATGATGATTTGGTCACGTGATTCATACTCACTTCCTGCACCAAATCCTTCTATGGAAATAATAGAATAGCTGTAACAAGGCCATTAAGGCACTTAGTAACTGACCCCTACTACCTTAGTATTCGGGGTCGCGCAACGCGCGACCCCGTAAACTAAGGCTGAGTCTGACGAGGCCGCAACGTTGAAGGGGTCGGTTAGTAATAAATTCATACACTTAGAATGGTTTATCATTCTATTCTACAGGGAGCTCAGATCTCAGTTGCCATCCATCCAGGTATGTTCAAGATTTTATGCCTATAAAGGGTCAACTGCCAACTGGTCAAGGGTTAGGGTTCGGGTTTTATGCCTTAGGCATCAATGTAATTACATAATGGCGCTTACCCTAGGTTACCCTACGGCACCCTAATTCTGGCCAACTCGCTCCGTTCCCTTCCAACATCCTCAGTTCAATGGGTACGTCGCACAAATCCAGCAGTTTCATCAAACAGACAGCATTTCTCATCAAGCCCATCCAAAAAGAGACTGTTTAATTCCTCATATCGCTCAATAGCACCTCTCGAGTGGCTTAGAGGAGCCTCCGCCTCACTGACCGCCTGGAATCGGATATGGCGCGTAGACGGTCGCGCTCAGCATTACCAACCCAGGGCGCTCTGGTCACAGGGAGCGTAGGAGAAAATGCGCCAGAGAAGCATGTCGTTCCGAACCCACCACAGCGACGAGTGACAAGAAGTCGAAGTCGCGAGCTTGAGTCCACAGGTCGTTCTGATGACGCTGGTCCTGCGGGTGCGCCTGCGGATGGCGCCCGGAGGAGGTGGGGGCAAAACAAAGGCAGAATGAGTAAGTTGAGTGGCTAGCCCTTTAAGCAGGGGTTGTCAAATTATTTTTGTAGTTGTGTTTCCTACGACATTCCTCCTCTCTATCCTGTGTATTGAATTTTGCAAAACTCAGAGCTTGATTGACCTTATTTGATCATTCAATTGGATTTTTTTTTTTGTCTTCTTCTTTTGACTGATTTTGTGGACATGTCATTGTTTGTTAATGTCTCTATGCCTCCACTATCCGTGTCCTTCTCTTCACATTACCACTATATCCTGAGTCATGACTCTTATTCGCCCTTTTGAAAAACAGGCCTCGGTGTCGTGGCGGAAGAGCCGCCTTTCCATTCGCCTCACAAATCTGTTCATCGCTATGCCAATCAAGTGATTCCGGAGTCGCTAGATGATACAGTGAACGTCACCGGTACTACCTTCCTGCCTGAAGAGCCGGACACCAATATGGATCCGGATATGATGATGGAGACACTGCCGGACCTTGAGCGAGCAGCCAAGAATGTCTTGGACTATCTCGTCCCCATCTCAGCGGATCCGGTCAGTATCGTCAACACAGCTAAGAGGCTCGCGGATCCGAATAGCACTCAAAGCAAACGACTCCGACACTCCGTGTCCAACCTGGCAGTTCAAGCAAAGTGGTTCGGTCCTCAGACCTACATTGACGTCAAGCATGTCAGTCAGCTACTCACATCAGCTCTGGAAAAGAGGAGCGTCCAATTAGGAAAAAATTGGAGTGCAGATCCCATTCTTCACCAGGCTAATTGTGCGCGTTTTGCACTTGAGGTGCTTCTGGCAAATGCTGGCACGGACTCTGCGAAACGAGCAATCAAAAACTTGGAAGACTTGTTTCCGCTGCCATTCATGAACGATCTCTCTGAGAGCCAGTATGAGAGAGCTATTGGCGAGAGCTCTCTCCGAAAAGACGCTTTCGATCTCGCTTTAGAACTCCGCACACAATCTCTGATACTGAAACTGGAAGAGGATCAGTATAAGCTCGATTTTTTCCCAGACGCTGCTATAAGGCAACATTTTTTCGATGTTGATGCTTTTGATGAAGATGATTTCGACAGCAGTGTCGCTCCACTGCTTGGTCTCAACATCCGTAGATTTCAAGGCTCTGGACATTTCCCGGAGCAGTACAGAGATGCAGTCTGTGACCGGTATAATGAGATTCTTGTCCTTATATCAGAAGCCGGAGTTAACTCCTTTGATATTAAAGAGTTGAAAAGCGCTTACCGCTGGCAAAAATTCGTCCTGCGGGCTGTTCAATGGTTACGAAAGCGCATTCAGGAAATTGCACAAGGGCTACAAGGGCAGCAAAGCGTACAGACAGTGCACAAAAAGTTTTTCGCTGACCAAGACCGCATAGAGAGTGCAACTACTACCCCCCATCCTAGTGTCACTCCCGCCCTTGAAAAACGAGCACCAGTGCCAGCTGCTGCTGATGATGATGATGGACAGCAAGGACTACCTCCATCTCGGGCTGAAGAGCGGATGCGGGGCGCTCCTAAAGAAGATCACCGAGCCCCAGTGTCAACTGCAGCAAGTAGGGAGCGACGGAAGTCTTCAAAACCGTTGGTACCCGATCACCTTTTGAGCTTGACTCTCTTGCTGACCGCTTTCAAGGGCCTTCCTCAATCCCGTGTCGATTCAGCGTCTTATGCAGAGGCAGCAGCGCCGTCGCTTTTCGCGCGAGGCTTCAGAAACCCGCAGGCAGTCAGACGTTGTTGCCCCAGTCATGCACGGCGGGAGCGCGCAGTCTGCCTCTGGTCTCCATCGTCAGACTCTGCCCGCACCATCGCAATCACTGCGGACGGCGCAGGGAGAGCCAGATGAGATAGCTGCCTCTCCGGAAGGTTCTCCAACTTTGCTACCTGAGGACCATTATCTCAGTGTCGATGATTCTCAGCTGAACATCGGCGATCATGTCGGTGCTGGACTTGAAAGATCACATAGCCCTCCGGTCGTCAATAGGATCACCCGCGAGCATCATCAGGAGCCTTCTTATGGACATCGACCTCGTACACCGAGCAGATTGTCCTTTGTCCCATCAAGCCAGGACATATTGCGAGCAGTGGAAGAGACCCAGAGTCCTACACGGTCAGTCCAACGAGCACGGCTAGACAGACGCCAGGCTTTCATTGACCGTCAGGTTAATGCGGAACGTGTTTCTCCAATTAGTCAGGAGGCAGACCTCCTCCTAAGTGCAGCCAGGAGACGTGACCCCCCACCGGCCTCGAGAAAGCGAGGACGTCAAGAATCTGAGGACGAAGATGCGAGCAGTGATGACTTTTCGGACTATGGTCGTGCGCTTGACCCTAGTCGCAAGCGTCAAGAGAAGGCAGAGCTGCAACGGAGAAAGCGCCAGAGGTTGGAGGAGGACCATGACGAGTCCGCCTCACAGTTACAGCAGGGTCTGCAAGCGAGTACCCAAAATAGGGAAGCCCAAGGTCAATCAGAAGTCGTCCGCCGGCTTGAAACTCCACCCCAGACTCAACGGTCACCGTCAAGACAATGGGCCAAGTCGAGCGATTTTGGTTCGAGTAGAACATTTACACCGTCTCAGTCCAAAGGCAGACAGCGCTGGACGCCAGCCGAAGATGCCCGGCTGATCCGATTAATTGGGGAGCACGGTTGTAAATGGGCAACGATCATGCGCCAGAACGACGCACAGGCAGCGGAAGATGGCGAGGTTCAGATTCAAGGACGCGATCAAGTACAGCTCAAGGATCGGGCCCGGAACCTCAAAATCGCTTTTCTTAGGTATGTCCCAGTGTGTCACTTGAATTTTATTTTCGCCCTCGCCTTTTCCAAGCAGACAGGCTTGCCTTAGGTATTTCGGGTATTTCCACTAACACTCAACACAGGGATGAACTTCCGCTTCCCAAGAACTTTGAAGCAGTAACTATGAAAGCTAGTGATTACGCCATGCTGGAGAGGAGAGGCATCAAGGTACCAAAACCTTAGCGATGATCGGCAGATCCATGAAACGATAGTCCATCTACACCATCCCTTGTGGTCCGCCTGTTTGAGTTAGCGTTTTGGTGGTTCCAGGTATCCTGGCCACTGAGTACCTGCACAAAGGGTTAAAATTTGTTACTGGATACCTTTCAAGCAACACGCTAGTGTACAACCGGTTGATTGGAGTCTCCTGTTTGTCCTTTCATGAGTAATATGTTATTGTCCGAAGTTTTGAGTGAGATGGTAGCCATGGGCTCATAGATAAGCTCTGTGGTAGAGTAGATAGTGATCATCCCGAATATATCATCATTGCATGCCTCGCGTACCAGAAATGAGGTAAAAGGCGAACCGATGTTCTGCAGTTTGCCTTGGATCGAGGTCGGGAGGGGTCACTCTATCTGAGTGGCATCTGCAGGCAAGCCTTCTGATCGATCTATTCGATGAACCAGTCTTCAGTTTGCTGCAGCAGGTAGTTGCGTTTCTTTGCGCTATGCCATGCCCGGGTTGGCTTGTGTAGTTAGGAACGTGTCGCTGAGTTGCTTCGCTGGAGCTTCGGTGGGTACAAAGAGCTTGATCTTGCCTGCAATCAGCCATGCAAGCCCTTCGGATAAATGATACTGGGGAGCGTGGTCTCTCTGAGGCTAGAGTCGAAGCATGTATTTGCCTTGGGACGTCTGGTTATTCTTAATGACTGGCTAAGTGAAGTGTCCCTCTAGACACCAATGGGAGTAGGATTGGATTGTTTGTTGACGTGTAAGGATGTTTAATATATATACCTTAGTTTTGCCCAGCCTCTCGCAGTGTGATATCCCTCTTCTCTCCTACCTCAGCAAAAGAACTGCGCGGATGCTTCTGTCCCCTCCCATAAGCTAGAAATTCACTGCTATGATGTCTATGATAATTGCTGAGTCAATATTACCATGTCATAGGTGATGCTAGGCCAAGGGCAACCACGGCTGGATTCACATGAATCTAGGTACACTTCGCTTCTAGAAATCTTGAGCAACCAGTATTCACTCCTGAGTTCCTCATCTTTCCCCAGACACAACACTAGAGTATCTCTTCCGAAATACTTAGATATTGACCCCACCTGATTATCCTGCATTCTCTTCTCGTCTCACAGGCTAACAAGATGTACGTCTTTCCACATGCCAGTTCCCCAGCATACGAGCCTCAGAAGCTTTCAAAACAAAAGAGCCCAAGTCCTAAGAAGCAGCAACACTTTCAGACGGAAAACGGGTCAACTCATACTCGGAATTCCTCCACAGGCATATCAATATACAGCTTTGAGTCCAAAGAGATACCGATCTGGTTCAGCGTATTCTTTGGAAAGCCCAGTTTGCTGTCGCCCCGGCTGGACAATGCTCGATTCAATGCTAAAATTTCAGAGAGGGTCTTCGAGTCTTCGAGCACACCTGCTAACAGTCCCTCCAAATCCTCTGTCAGAACGAGCGTCTCAAGTAGCGCCTCCCTGCCACGACCCGGTCTGCTTGAAGAACCACCCGTCCTCCGCGCTATACACTCCTTGTGCCACTCTTTCGAAGGTGAAATACTCAGCTGCGTGACAGAAGGTTGTACGATCTGCGGAAAGGGTCCAACTCAATCTTTAGTACATCGCCCGCTATGCGCTACACGATATGGCTATGTTGAACTATCGGATTTTGTGGAGGTGCGCAGGCTAGTCTCGACTGTGGCGTCTCATACAGCGCATATCACCAGGAGGGACGAAATCGATTGGAGTGTCGGAGGTGTGATGAGCGACAGACCATACATCTGCTCACTAGCAGTCCCAATTTGTTCTTCGGAAGGAGAATGTCATAGAGCAGCCACAAGAATGATGCAGACATACATTGAGGGCATTAGAGACGGCAGCATCAAGCCAAAGGCTTTGGACAAATTCGAGACCTCGGACAGATCGAGTTTACCACAACGCCGGAGCGCGACATCGCAGCGCAGCTTTCGAGTGAATACTGAAAGAAACGAAGATTATTCTGGAAGCACGGTTTGCCTGAGAAGCCCATCAATCGAGACTCTCGGTAGCCCTAGTGCTCAGCCCTTCAGGATTGGAGCTACGATGTTTGTTGGAAGGCCAAGCCTGCAGCTCAGCGGCACCCCGCGACGTGGTCAGCTAGGCTGTTCAGTCTTCTCCTCTACTTGGTCGGGCCCTGCTCTTCCTGGAGTTGCCAAGAATGAGGCAGATGATGCCGTTTTCTATTGCCGTATTGCGGCTTTCTATGAGCATCACATTCTTAGCTCTGCGAATTATCGTTGCGCAGTATGTTCTGAACTCGCACCAGCAAGGAGCTTGGTGCATCGGCCGCTACTATTTGTCCAAACTCATAGATCCGGCTTGCAGAATGAGTCTGAGCGGCGACTGATCGTGAGGCTCTCTCAATTTGTACAAGGCCGATGGTCGTACCCGGAGACGAACGCCATCATGGGAGGTACAACCGACGCTCATGTTTTCGACCTTGTTGTACCAATCTGCGAAAGCAATACGCTTTGCGCAGAAGTGGCTCGAACTTCGGCGCGCGAGTTTGTCAAGCTACTATTACCTTCCGACATGGCACTTATTTTTCCCGGTTTAGACCCAGATACTGATCTCTCCTTGATGGAAGATGAGGCCGTGAGTGAATATGTCTACAAGCCCGAAGACGCAGAGGTCCTAGTTCACAGAGTCGGATGTGATCTGCTGACAATGACCGGCGAAGAGCGAGACGAGGATCCTATGGACTGTTCCTTAACCATTACCAAGCTGCGACGGTGGTACGAACTCGCTTTTGAGGAAGAAGAGGCCAAACGCCTGTACCTCCAAGATATTGGGTACAAGAGAACCGGCGACCGCAGTGAATCAGACAGCGACGGCAGCGAAATCGACGACGATCTTGTCTGGGTGTACGCTCTGAATGATCCCGATGAGTCTTCGTCGCGGAGAAACAGCGCTCAGTTGTCTAATCGTGGACTGACAAAACAAGACTCGGCTATCCGAAAGTTTGAAAAACTTACACTCTTTCAGCCCACACTCAGTCTTGAGTTTTGGAAAGTTTGGGAAGCTATGAAGTCTTTGGATCATACGCATAACTAGAGCGCTCGCAGGGCATGAAGCCTCGCGAAATATTGACTGCACTAATTAACTCTTTCCTCGTATCATCGTACGCTTGGACGAAGATAGTCGAATACGATTCGGACATACCAAATTTGGAGCATGTGGACCATACGTACAGATCGAGTTGCAAGCGAGATGAAAGTATTTGCTGCAGACAGAGAACAACGAATACGTACTTAGCCTTGCCGTCTCTACGAGCAGGCCGCTCATTGAAGTTATTTTGGGCAACCGGGGCTGAATTCTGAAATGCTCAATGCCCGGGCAGCCCGGCAATGGCGCGGGACCAGAATCCTCCCGTATCCTTGAACGAACTTAGTGAAGGGTATGTCAATGATCAAAGGACTCTGGACTTAAGGAAAATGAAACAAAACTAGGCTAAGAAAGTTGATGCACCATTCTGGGTAGTTGATTTCTCGAACGTGGACACAAACCAGACTTTCTCAATACAGGTGCGCATCTCCTTCAAAGCAAATCTGTTGCTCAAGTGTCTTCATTATGTCGTTTCTGTCAGAGGCTTAAACCGGGATAGTCCCCGAGTTGGGGCGGTTAGTGGTCAATTGCATCGCAAGGCTGACAGCCACGAACCATCTTGGGGCCGATGCACAGTTGATCGCTTCGAAATTTAGACCACAACGAGTTTCAGATGCTAAATATGGATTTGAATGGGAACTTGGGCGTATTTGGAGATAACCAACAATGGGGGTTGTATCAAAGGACGAGGCGCAGCTCGAGAGTCCAGTTTGAGATGCCGCAGATACGAATTGTATACTCCGTATTCCGAATGCCTTCTGTTGGTGCTGTAAGATTGATATAAAGGTGTGTATCCTTGAACTTCATGAATAGACAAGTTGGAGCGTGGTGTGTCTAGATCTAGCAGGTCTTACATAATGTTATCGACTATAAACCTGCTGTACTCGATAGCAGCCTTTGCTGCTCTATTTGGAGCGCCTACTCCCTGCTGGATACCAGTTCCTCATCCACCGTCGCCGTGTACTGGGGTATTTGAACTCCGTGCAGTTTATAAGCGACAAGATGCTGACTGTCCTGCTCAGGTCAAAATTCTGGAAACACAGGTCAACAACGCTTGAGTTATTACTGTGATAGTACGTGTTGCATGAATTTCGTTCTTGGCTTAGCAATATAGAGGCTGACCCAATCTCAGATCCGAATATCGACGTATGGTGGTGACTTTATCGACCTGATATCCATGAGGAAGCTTACTTGCAGCAGATGTTTCAACTGTCCTTCGTTACGCGGATTTCAGGTGCAGCTGGTCTGCCAGAACTCGACTTCGCCAACCAGGAAAGCCAGTGCACTGTATATCCTGGCACGAATCTCTTAAACTGTCCTCAGATCGGGTGGGTCACATTCTGTGAGGTGTCGCTGATGGTTAGACTAACATAACATCCTCACTCTCAGAGAAGATATCAAGCGATGCCAGCAAAATGGAAAGACCATCCTTATTTCTATCGGCGGAGCAACATCGACAGAACGTGGTTTCGCCTCGGAGGTAGCAGCCATCGAAGCCGCCAACAAGATGTGGCAGATCTTCGGACCTGTGCACGCGGGTAACACGGCATACCGACCATTCGGAGATGCAGTCATCGACGGCTTTGACTTTGATTTCGAGACCAGCGTCACAAATATGGTGCCCTTTGCCAATCAGCTGCGCCGCTTGATGGATACTTCTGAGGGCAGAAAATACTACCTGACTGCTGCGCCGCAGTGCGTGTTCCCTGACGTAGCAGATCAGGAGATGCTGAATGGAGCTGTTGCGTTTGATGCAATCTGGGTGCAATTCTACAACAATTACTGTGGCGTGAATGCATTCTCTTTTGGCTCAATGCGGCAGGGTGCTTTCAACTTTGACTTATGGGACGCATGGGCTAAGAGCCAGTCCAAGAATAAACAAGTCAAGGTCTTCATCGGTCTGCCGGGAAATGTGGCTGCGGCTGGAACTGGCTATGTTGATGCTGAGCAGGTCAGAGAAGTTGTCGCTTGGAGCAAGGCATTCTCGAGCTTCGGAGGCATTATGGTATGGGACGCAAGCTCGATGTATGCGAATCAAGGATATCTTGAATCAGTGAAGACGACGCTCATCGGATGAGAAGTGTGTATATGAAGGTAAAGACGTTCATTTGACGACGGGCCCATATCAAAGGTCCGATGTATATACCTAACTTTCTGTTGATGGTCTAGGTTTGAACTTTGTTTCATGTCGCTCTGGCCGACAGCAATGAATGCGATTACGACATTGTATTTTCAGCGCTTCTGGCGTTGTTGATGATAAACCGAGGGTGATCTGACTCCTAGCCTCGACGATGGCAGGGTTCATATGACCAGGACAACCAATCACTTCACGAAGGGAGACTCATGGTTTTACCTTATTGAGCCCTCCACGCGAAACCTGCTGCAGAATGACGACAGCGCACAGCACCAACTGTCGAGTCAACTGGAACGTGCGTCTTTAAAGTATATTCGTGGAGCTTCTAGCATGTCGATGTAGGATTTGTTTGGGATCTTGCAAAACAAGCGGGTGCACAACTGGCGCTAGTAACGCATATGATGCCCTTTCCTGCGCAGTCAAGAAAAGAGCAGTGATAAGCCGACTGAGGGATTCGTCATCGATATGGACATAAACCGTGTTTCTTTGTTCCCCTCAGCTGTGCCTCAAAGCTGGTAACACTGCGGCGGTCATATGCTTTAAAGTTTCGGGCTGAAACGGTGCTAATTTCAGGATGACAAACAACAGGACAGCCAACATCTACTCCGTAGAGAGATGCAAGAAGTAACCAAGGTCATCTGCGGTGTCAGGTGCACGCCGATCCGCGCAAATCAGCGCCATCAGTCCAGTCTGTGGGATCGGTGGGCTGAAATGTGATGGCCGTTATCAGTAATCGGTGCATGCGATGGCAGATCTTCGAGGCTAAAAAACCTAGAGCAAGTAGCTCATTACACCGCCGTTACCCAAAGGAATTCTGCCGTCCTATCATACGACATGTTCTCCACCGATTTCGAGCCTAAAGTAGACGTAAGAAGATGTACCCCGCGGTTCCCGCAACAGGGCAGCTGCTCACCGCCTGGAAATAACCAATACCATACGCCAAACTGACCATGAGACTGGCTCCATCATCCGCCTCAGATTTGTTACAATATGAACGCCATCATCCACACTTTTTCCGTGTGATGGTCTGGGCATCAAGCTTCGGTCCTCTTGTCCTCGAGCTTCACCGACTCCCAACGTCCACCTGTCATCTCCGCAGACTCCCCATATTAATCGCTCCTCTTTCTCATTCCTCTTTCTTCAGTCTCATTCTTTAAATTTTCTTATCCATTCCTCCCTTCAGCGATGCCTGTCAGCAATCGGTGCTCAGGTGCTCCCTCCGGTCTCTGCTCATAGGCCGTGATCTGACCACTGGCTTTAGGGAAGGTCGTCTTGCTTTCACATTCTCAAGTCACGGCAAACCAATTGATTCAAGAGTTATAGAGGGTGGGCCTAGACTGTTATCGTAGCATTTCTCACATTCTAGTGGCGTTGTACCACTATCTTGATTGTTCTGCAACAATCAGCTCCTTGCTGCACAGGTGCTTATAACCTCGGGGACTTGTTCCTCGCTGTTTGATTTTCTCCCAGTTCAAGTAAAGATCAAAACTAATCATGTGTTTTTGTATCAGGGTTATCAGGTCCAAACCCAAGGAGCCCGAGGTGGTCTCCATCGTCCATCTGGTGAAGATGGCCGAGGATGAGACATCGCCTGTCAACCTCCCAAGCGAACATCTGGATGGCTCTGCTTCGCAGCGTGAACCAGCGCAAGGCTTGTGGAACAGGTTCTTCAGACGGAGAGAGCCGGGAAAGTCAGAATCCGAGGAGTCGGAGTCCGTCAATAACCCGAGCTATCGTTCGAAGGCGACTTTAGGGATTCTTAGCGACAAGGAGACCGATGAAGTACCAGGTACGTTTTGCAAGCCTATCTGTGCCAATGTTGGACAATTCTGACGATCTCTAGGAACGGTGCTATTGCTCTCCTCGAATCGTAACGAACCATTGGGTCTGCGGCACCAGCAGCGGCGAACATCCGCATCTTCTCTACCTAACGTCATTCCTTCGTCTCGTTCTTCTTCGCGCACGACGGCTCCCCAGCCAAAAAAGACGGCAGACGGTCGAATTGTCCTCAATCCGCAGCCAGATGATTCCGTCAATGACCCACTGAACTGGCCCATGTGGCGGCGCGATGCTGCGTTGCTCTCCTTGGGCTTCTACTGCTTAATGGGCGGAGGAATGACACCCATTCTTGCTGCTGGGTTCAACCAAGTCTCTGAAAGCTACGGAGTGAGCACTCAGAAAGTGGCATACACCACCGGATTGTACATGTTGGGTCTCGGAGTCGGATCGGTCATCATGTCACCGACCGCAATTCTATGGGGAAAGCGACCAGTATATCTCCTAGGGGCTACACTCTTTGTCCTTTCTGCCGTGTGGTGTGCCTTGTCTCCAAATTACCCCAGTTTGGTGGTTGCTCGGATTTTTCAAGGGATCGCTGTCAGTACTGTCGAGTGTCTTCCCTCGGCCACTATTGCCGAAATCTACTTCCTGCACGAGCGAGCATATCGTGTTGGCATCTACACTCTTCTCCTTCTGGGTGGCAAAAACCTCGTGCCTCTGGTCAGCGCTGCTATTATTGGCCGTCTGGGATGGCGTTGGGTGTTTTGGATCGTCGCAATTATTGTTGGTGCTTGTCTCGCCCTCCTCTTCTTTTTCGTTCCTGAAACGTTCTGGGATCGCACACCGCGTCCTCGTCGCTCTCACAAGCGTCCTCATATGATACGGAACGTATCAGACCTTCTCCGAGGTCGACAACTTCACCACCGTCTAGAGGACCCAGTCCCGAACCGAGACCCTATCTCACCTGCACCCAGAAAGTCCAACAAGGGTCACGTCGGCTTTGTGGAGGATCAAGATCAGGAAGGAAACCCGGTAGATGAGAAGGAAAGAAATCATGAAGACCACGACCGGATATTACCATCCGAGACCCCAGTCGAGGACACCGACCAGCTGGGCTTGTCGGACCCCGAGAAGCATGATGCCTCCCTACAAATACCTGCTTTAGCGGTTACTCATGAGTCGGACTCTCAGCGCGATCTCGAAGCAGCTAGGCAACCTGCTGTGTCACCCGCGCGTAGCGAATCCGTGGGTTCGGCCGTACCACTGCCTCCAGCCCAGGTGTACACCAACCGACTACGAGAGAAACCCCAAATCCCCTTCACGCAATACCTGCGAATCTGGAACGGGCGAATTTCGCATGATAAGTGGTTACGAGTTGCCGCGCGTCCGTTCATTCTGTTCGCCTACCCGGCTGTTCTCTGGTCATCGGTAGTGTATGCGCTCTCGGTCGGATGGCTTATTGTGCTGTCCGAGTCTGTGGCGCATCTGTACCAGGGCTCGCATGGTTACAACTTCACCCCTTTGCAGACAGGCCTGGTTTATATCTCTCCCTTTGTCGGCGGTCTTTTAGGAACTGCAGTGGCCGGTAAAGTATCCGACGTGATTGTGCAGTTTATGTCCCGGCGCAATGGAGGCGTCTACGAGCCCGAATTCCGTCTCGTCATGGCCATCCCTATTGCTCTATCAACTTCGGCGGGATTGATGGCATTCGGATGGAGCACGGAGGTGAAAGATTCCTGGATCGTGCCTACGATCTTCTTCGGTCTGATTTCATTTGGATGCTGTCTCGGCAGCACGACATCGATCACTTTCTGCGTGGATAGCTACCGGCAGTATGCCGGTGAGGCCTTGGTGACTCTGAATTGGAGCAAGAGTAGGTCTTTGGTCTCCCTTCCGTAAAGAGAGCGAGAAGCTAACGAATCCCTGATTCTAGACGTATTTCACGGCCTGATTTTTTCGTTGTTCATTGTCGACTGGCTTGAAGTCGATGGCGCCCGGACGGTGTTCCTCGCACTCGGGGGCATTCAACTTGCATGTTTGTTGTTCACGATACCCATGTACATCTACGGCAAGCGGGCTCGGATGTGGACGGTACGGAAGTGTTTGATGGAGAAGTTTTGAGGGATGACAGTTATCAATTGGCATGCACAAATTTCTCAGATGTACAAGTTATGAATCATATACGGAAATCAGTTTAGACGAAGACCAAGCATCATTGAAATGAAAGTTATTCAGTTATCCCTTGCTGTGCTCTGCACCAGGCAGATGATCTGCGTCCTCGCCACATGTGTCAGCCACTGATCTGCCGTCCCACTAGTCCCAATCGCGTGCTAGGCCGCCACACAGTAGCCCGTGTCTAACAAGACTCGCTGGATAAAACAGCCAACAATCAGAATGAGGAGAGGCGGCCACAGAATCATAGTGACCACTGACACCAGACTGATGGTTGTGGCTGCTGTAGATCACCTTAGTCTAAGGTTCTTATACGTAGCATTGTCCATTTAGTAATAATAATAATAATAATATTCCGACGTCCAACAATGGCCTGTGCAATTAAAGAGAAATGACTTTTGTGCCTGCGGTCAGCGCCCACCGCCCCGCATCAACCTCCGATCTGCGTGCCCTGATTCCGCGGCTTCGAGCTCTGACTGGCGGCTTCTCAGGCCGCAGAAGGATGGTGACCAATCAGAAGATTCAATGTAGCCCTTACCAGAACAGGACTGGCTCATGCCAGGAAACAGGGAATCAAAGATTGGGGAATTGAATAATAGGGTAAGACAAGGTACCTACGTAAGTAACTCCGTACAGCAGGTACCTAGGAAATCTAAGATACCTTATCAATATTTGCTGACTATCGTCGCTGTGCCTTAAACAATCCCTGGAAGACTGGAAGGGTGAGTGTGCCGGCCCATGGATAATGGGCTCCATCCAGGGACCAAATAATTTCGATTGCAGGTACTTAATCATGGAGAGTCGCGGATTTTGATTAATCTGCCCCCCAGTCCCTTGCACAGGTGTCACAATGTCCAGTTCATCTTCTCCCGAAGTGGCCATGGGCCCATGTCATGTAACTCATGTTATTCTTATTATGATGCTGATGACGACGACGGTGGTGATGATGATGATGATGATGATTACTCATAACCTCAGCATAATTCCTACCTTGAGTGATCACTGCCCGATCCATACCCTGGAGGCAAAACTGGGATGGTCAGACGGGAGCCAACGGTGGAGTAAAGAGTTGGTTTCCAACATTTGCCAGAGAATGTGTTGCGAATCGTCAAGCGAGGTAATCGAATGTGTTGCATTCGCTGTGTACCTATCTATTATCTAAGGTATTTCCTTCTAGGAGGTGTTGCCTTCTTTCATACTACAGATACCTTCTACCATCTCCTCTCAACTGCTCTCTTCCTTTTAAGCGGTTCAGATTCTCCTCCGGACCCCTTCATCGCCTTCCCCTCCCGCAAACTAAGGCTCATGCCACTTTCGCAGATTCTGTAATCAAAGAGAGCCAGAAAAAAAGTTGGTTGCTGTGGCCCATCGTCTTTTTCTCCTACATCCAACCACTCTTTCTCTCCTCTCCTTGACTCTTAGATTTTCAAGCCTCATATTCTCTTTTTTGCCCTCCGTAGGCTGCTTTCTGTCGGTCTCATCATTATTGCTGGCTGCTTAGCCTCTGCTTCTTACAAGCTGCCACACCCTATTCCGACGTCGATAGACGCCCCATTCCTCTCTCATTGGGCCAAGAATGGATCTCGACTTCTGAAAATAGGTCCTATCGGCTAATCATCCTTTGTCCCCTCCGTTCCTATCGCGATCACCGATCCTAACACCACTACTGTTATGGCATCGACATCTCGAAGTCGCCGAGATGACTATAACGCCGCTCGTAGAGCTCGCGAGCTCTATCGCTACTTTCAACCTGAACGTCTTCCTCAGTTAGACTCGCCCAGTGTGCATAATGCTCCGACCGCCGATGATTTTCTCCCGCAAGCCACTGCGCAAGCCGTCGATGCCTCGATCCACGCGCCCTCTGCATCCTCACCCTTACCGCCGGCCCCACCGCAATTGTCACCACCACTGGCGACCACCGGGGAAGCTTCTCCGTTATCGCCAATGGCCCCTGAAACTCTGATTTTAGGCCAGAACAATGCTACTCTGACATCCTTTGCTCAACTTGCAGCACTGCGTCTAAATGTGGAGCGTGTAATAATCAGGTATGCCAGTTTCCTGCTAACTACAGTCGGGAAGATCGATCATAGCTGATGGAATTTTCTGCCTTACAGTGTATCCGATCGAGATTCGCAGTTCATTCTCGCCCAAGCGAGTCAGTCCCCCGTCGGTAGTGATGCCCGGTCTTACGAGGCTGAGGGAGATGGGATCTGGGATGGCTGCTCCACCCTACCCTCATGTGCTTGGGGGATGTGCGAGGTAGGTTTTTGTCCTGCTGAATTATCATCTCGCTCATCGTGCTGACTGGGTTCTGTCCGCTATAGGCTACGGTAGCACTTCCACCGTCTTCGAGAGATTCAAAAGAATACAGTTTCCTTGTGGTCAATGACCTGCAGGAGAGCGAGCCTTACAAGAACGTCTCTTTTGTCACCGGCGGACCTCGCTTTCGTTTTTACGCCGGAACGCCTCTAACGACAGAAACAAAAATCAACATTGGGTGTTTCTTTGCGCTGGATACCAAGCCTCGCGATAGCTTTTCTGACCTTGAGAAGGAGATCTTTGGCTCGTTGGGAATGCTTATCATGGACTATTTACAGGTGAGCCGGCAGGCTTCTGAAGGAAGACGTGCAGCTCGATTGTCTCGGGGTCTGAGTTATTTCGTAGAGGGCAGTTCTAGCTTTGTCGACCCTCATCCCTCCTATGCAGGCAGTTCTGCCCCTACGCTCAGCACTCCCGCGTCGTCCGGTGTGAGGGCCAACCACCTCTCGGGCGGGTCCTCTCAGAGTTTCGAACTTCCCTCCAAACGCTCTCACAGCATTGATGCGCGCTCCATCACCTCGGTATCAGACTCGAAAGCCGACAATGGCGACCAAAACATTTCTTCCGGGCCGGACACGTCGCTCCCGGATTGGTGGGCGGGAAGCAGAAGGAAGGGGCTGACGTTAGACGAATCACATAGCAGCTCCTGGGCGTTTCGAAGAGCCGCCAATCTTCTCCGCGAAAGTCTCGAGTTGGATGCCGATGGTGGTGTTATCTTCTTGGAGGTCAATAACAGCCACATGCTTGATATCGAGACCGGAAGTGATTGCTCAGGAGAGAACGGTCCTGCGGCTCCTGTATTGGCTGTCTCCACCAGAGACGAACCGTTTGCCCCAGGGCCGGGCTCGACAGTGCTATATCCTGCTGCAAATCTCGACAGCGGGTTCCTGCACCAGCTGCTGCGTCGATACACCAATGGCAAGCTTTGGTCCTTTCACCGAGATGGGATTCTTTCTAGCTCCGATGACGAAAAGCCAAACGGAAATCGCTCAAAAAGCACGAAACCCGCCGAACCGCCTCGTGGCAGTGGCAAGAAGTGGAAACAATCGGAAAACACCATGTTGAATCTGTTCTTTCCGAACGCAACTCAAGTCATGTTCGTTCCTCTGTGGAACGCTGCCAATTCACAGTGGTTTGCGGGTTGCTTTTGCTGGAACACAATAGAGACGCGTGTCTTCAGCCCTTCTGTCGAGCTGAGTTCGGTTCTGGGCTTCGGATCATCCATCATGGCGGAGTGCAACCGGGTCCAGTCCCTGATCTCCGATCGGCAGAAGGGCGATTTTATCGGAAGTATCTCGTAAGTATTAGAGACAGAGAAAGCGAGCGTGGTTCATCGACCGGTCATTGACATAATTGAGTACAGGCATGAACTTCGCAGTCCTCTCCACGGCATTTTGGCGGCCACAGAGTTTTTGCACGGCACAGACCTCGATGAATTCCAACTGTCTCTGCTTGAAACGATCAACGCGTGCGGTCGGACACTGTTGGATACTATGAATCAAGTCCTAGACTTCAGCAAAATTGTTTCCCTCGAGAGGACCTGGCGTCAGCTCAAGAGGAACAAGACTTCGCCTGCGGAATTGACGAGCATGGACAAGATCTCTGCGCATCTGGACACATTTGTCACGACAGATCTTGCCATTCTGGCTGAGGAAGTGGTGGAGGGCGTGTGTTTAGGCCATACATACGGACAGAAGTCGATGGCTTCCTCGGAACAGTCTGTCCTTTTACCGAACTCGGCTGCCACGCTCTCGCTTCCGCGGCGAACGCCCAAGCCAGATACTTCAGCGGAGGTAGAAGTAGTGATGGATATTGCGCAGCACAACTGGGTGTACCGGACTCAACCGGGTGCGTTGCGGCGCATTATCATGAATGTCTTTGGCAATGCCATGAAGTACACCGAGTCGGGCAGGGTCTCGGTGCACTTGGAGGTCACCGAGGCGTCCGAGAACCGGTCACGCCGTCATAATGTGGAGGAACTTGTGACCCTGACCGTTTCAGATACGGGCAAAGGCATCTCGGAAGCGTTCTTACGGGGACGCTTGTTCACACCATTCGCCCAAGAGGATATTTTGGCGGTGGGAACTGGGCTGGGGCTGTCGATCGTTCGGAGTCTCGTCAAAGCGTTAAACGGGACTATCAACGTCCACAGCCGGCCTGGCGAAGGCACGACGGTCAAGGTATCTCTTCCTTTGACACGCCCGGATCCGGAGGACAGTCTCGAGGACAGCCTGACTGCACCGTCGGTTCCGTCGAGACAGGACGACACAATGAACGAGGCCTGTTCGCTCCGCGACAGCCATGGCGGCAGACGCGTTGCCATTATGGGTATCGAGCCTGCCGATGCCCTGGAACATCGCTTCTGGTCTATCATTGCGCGCTACCTGACGGACTGGTACGGTCTGGAGCTGGTTTCCTCGGCGTCCCAAGAGCCCATCAATGTGCTTCTGGCAGACGAGGAGAGCTTGGCGAGCATCTCAAAGGAGGCTGTCACTGGCATTCTCCCTTCGCTCTTGATCCTCTGCAACAAGTCGGTTAATTACAGCGCTATCCGGGCCGAGTGGTCACCGATTGCCGCTTTTGTGGACATCATCCGCCGCCCGTGCGGTCCGCACAAGCTCGCCCGTTGC